CGGATGCCGGCTACGGGATTATCTTTTCTCTTTATTACGAGGGATCTTTGAAATACAGCCACCAGCCACTTTGCCTTGATTTGTGTTGATTGACCTGACCTTGTTGGGAAGAAAAGGTGGTCTGATTCACAACGTTTATGCTACACTAGCTTGTTGACGTTCTCTCTAGCCTTGTTTTTTATCACTGATAATGGGATATGCCGGAGGATTTGTAGCGCTTGGTGTGCATACACGGAGAGATGATGACGTTGCCCGAGGCCCTCTCAAACAACCCTAGACAACAGTTTTTCTTTCTGGGGTAATTTACATGGGGATTGGAGATGAGAGAGAAGCAACGCGGGATGTGGGTTCGGAGCAGCGGAGGGGTCTGCTCCGATGAAGTTGGTTTGATATCAACCAGCCTCTAATGCCGAGATGTCCGCCGGCATTTGTGTGTGATTGTCGTCGTTTTCGTGTTCCCTCGGGAAAGTTGGCAAAAAAACAGGGCTTTCACTCGAAAAAGATAACAAAAATCTGACAGGTTTCTTTTTTCTTCTCTCCACGCACGGATGATTTACCAGACACTCAAATGTGCGGCTGGCTGCCGGGTGGGGTGGTATGTAGGTGGTGCCCAACAACCAACAGACAAGGAACAACGGGTGCGTCGCCCGTGGAAAGCTGTAAGCCCTACCACACCTGCGAGGGCAGAAAAAAAGAGGCGTTCAATCCCTTCCCGGAGCTTATTTTTGTTTGGGGGATGAACCAAGCTGTCGGTCCTTCTCTTGCAGCTCTCATCACATTCGTCAGCCCATCGAAGCCCAAAATTGTAGAGGTGCATATTGGTAATGATAGTTTGGAGCCTTGCGTTCCTTCGAGGGAGTTTTCTGGGATTGATCATGACTGGCCAGGAAGAAAAGAACCAACCCGCATGGAAAGGAATCGAAAAGAACAGTGCAGTAGCCGATTTTCTTTCTGGGCGCCATCACGTTCTTTTTTTGCGAGGCCCTTACCGTTGCAGTCTTACATATTACAAACTGATGATTTCCGTGGGCTCGGGGGGGGGCTTTGACATCACCAACAACCCCGAACGGCTCTTGCTGCTTATCTGCCTTCCATGTCATACTGCGTATGTGGAAGCCTGGTTGTAACAAGGAAAGTTGGGATGAGGATGATACACCATGTATCGGCAGGCGAGTCGGGACGAAACAGCGAAAGGAAGCTTCCGGGTTTCTTGGGGTTGACTCGTTTATGTGTGCCCATGAATCACCACTTTGCGGTTTGTCATCATGTTCGTCTCAAGTTCTTGTCTTTTTGTCTTGTGTTGATGGAGTCTTCTCTCATCTGGAAATCCCGAGGAGGGCTGATCCATGTGTGGAGTCTCCAACCCCAGCTTTCAACAACACAAGTCCCCTCCCCCCCCCCCCCCCCCAACCGAACGTTGCAGTTTCGCTCGTAAAAATAAAACACACAAGAACCCTCTCTGTTTCTTCTTCCGTATCACAAGGTTTCCCGGCAGTACGGTTACAGTTGTTGGGTCACACTTGTCTCTCAGTCCCCAAGACATAATTAGACCCTTCTCCATTCTCTGGAATGACCGAAAAGAATACACCGCTGTTCAGCCTGGCCGGCATACCGATGTTATCGACGGAGATCGCGGCAGTCGTTTGAGGAAAGAACATCTGTATCAAAAAAAAAAAAAAAAAAAGAGCTCGGCCCGTCAACCGTTGCGCGCCTATTGCGCTGGTCAGGTGGTCCTTGCTTTGCGGCAAAAGTCGCAGACACCGGAAATGACAGCGTGGGGTTTTCCTTGTTGACCGCCGCAGACTTTCACTCTCACGAGGGCACAAAATGGGTGGGTTCATGCAAGAAGGTCCAAGAGAGCAAAATAATGAAAAAAAAGTTATGTCAAGGACACTTCGTTGCTTCGTTCGTCCTTCTCCGAGCCGAAGCTCGGTACCACCGCTCTGTCACGACCCCGTCGATCTTGTTCAGTAGTTCAGCTGGGAATGGGTTGTTGGGCATGTGGGATGCCATCGCGAATTCCGCGCACAGCGCGTACAATTTAATCATCCCACTCCCGCGCCGGTCCTTCGGCCCCAACAGTTCGGGGCAAGGTCAAGGCGCCGGGGACTCTCGTCATATCGATCGGCGTCAGCGAACTCCCGTTCCCGAAAAAAAAGAAAAAGAAAAAACCGGCTCCCTCGCTCTTCCACCAATCACAGCAACAAACCCTCTCATTACTCCCAGGTCCTGAAACCTTGACTTGTTCAAACTATCGCCAAATCCAGTTAAGCCCCAATATCATCATCAGCTCTCTTGTCTTTTCCCCTCCCCAGCTTTTGAAATAAGCGCGCCACCGGTTATTTTGTTCCTTTTTTAATGCTCGCTATCTCTTTTTCCTTTTTTTTATTGTGCGGAACCCCAGTTGATGCGCCCCACGGCTTGGGTGAGCGCTCCAACCTCAAAGAAGAAAAGCCCCAGGTCAGAGCGCCTGAAAACAACCCCTGCCACCCACGTGGTGGAAATGGTGCTGGCGTAACCCCAAAGCCCCTGGCGATCGCCTGCTGCAGGAGGCTCCTTTTGGAATGGCTTCATCAATTTGCCTTTTTGTCTGCTGCCTGCAGGTTGTTGCGCGCGCGCGCACAAGCCACCTGTCGACATCCCCTGAAAGACAACACACTGCAAAAGACAAGAAGGGTCTGGAACATCTTGTTCAACAGAAAAAAGTTATTCAGATCACAATCTCCTCCTGCATGCTGCATGTCTTCTATTTGCCCGTCGAGTATGCCCGGCACGCCGATAGAGGTATGTACATATTCCATAGTGCCGAGAAACATTTCCCTATCTCCTCTGCCAAATCTTCTAATACATCCCCCCGGTATCATGAAATCGCGATAAGTACAATACGACTCCTCTAATCACAAAGCCCGTGGCTGAGCCAGCAAGCTCGAATGAATGAGGTAAGCAACCATCTAGACCTTGCCCTGTCCGCAAGAAAGGGGAGACAACGAAAACACAACCCTCCAAGTGACATGGTCGCCGTAGCCGTCAACTAGGGAAAGCCACACAACCCGAACTCGCGGTCTCTCTTTTCCCCCCTACCTACTAGTGATCCTATTTTGGGTTGACCACCCCATGTCGTTGCAAATGGGTTAGGGAGGTTGCATTCATGCGGCCCACCTTCACCAGAAAGCAGCAGTTCTTGAGCTCATCAAGACTAGCCCAAAATCATGCGACGGTGCACAGACGGTGGACTTTCGTCTTGTCGAGGTTTCCTATTCCCGAAATCGTCCATCATTCCCAAATTTCATCACTTTTTGGCATCCTGGGGGTTCGTCTTGTGTCCGATACTCCTCGGGAACCTCGTATCTGCCGCTCGTGAGCGACGATGACCGAGACAGACCAGAGAAGAGAAGGAGTGACGGCAGCAGCAACCGAATACGCTTCGGTAATTCTACCGAGATGTTTGAGATGGATGGGAGCGAATGTCCATCATGTCCATCATGTCCCGTCTCAGTCGTCGTGGGGGCACAATGAGACGGAGCGAGTGTTTCTTGTATTGAATCATGCCGATGGAAATGATATTGTATTCATGTGTATTGTGTCTGTAACCCCCCAAAGAGTCAAAAACCGGTGATGATCCACGGACGGGTCGGATTCATTAGTACAAAACTATTCCTGGAGCGCGCGATTGCAGCGCGGGAACAAATAGTATAGTATAGCAATGATGATATAACCACCATAACCAGCTCATGCTGCTATGCGGCGTGGAATTTGCGCTGGTAAAACAAGCGGTTGGCTAGCGGAAGAACTTTCAAGTGTTTGTTTGCTCTCAACTTCAAACATCTCAGAGATCACCACTTCCATCCTTCCGTTCCTGGCTAAAGGTTGCAACCAATTCACCCCTCCCTCGCCCCGCCATCCTCGGCCTGGAGAACGTCCTCCGGCCCTGTGCACGCAGCCGCACCCCGCGGCCGCCTTGCATGGCCTGATAACAAGACCAAGCTGTACGCCAAAACCTGATTATTCGCGGGGGCGGAGACGATGGCACCGGCCTTCTGTTCACGAGGCGCAGTTCGGGAGAATTCGCGGACGGAATTCATCCGTACGATCTCGATTACTGAGCTCATGAGGCCATCTCCAAGTGCCAACCCACTTGGCGGCTTTGTATGCCCCGCAGATACGGATACAGACAAGGCTTTGATGATGATCGATTGTTTCGGTTTTCAGCCTTCCGGGTATCGTTCATGATGGTTGTCGTCATGTACCGTCCTTCACCTGCGGCGTAGAGTAGTGATTGCCAGCGATGTTCAAGTCACACACAGTCGGCGTCTCACAGGTGGGTGTGATAGATTGTGATAAGAACTGGGGGCCAGAACACCAAGACTGGGGCCCCGAGATGCCGTACTGATAGACGATGCTTGGGTCAGAAACACCTTCCCTATCATTTGACGCCAACAAAAAGAGGCGTCCAGGTGCATGTTTCTCAGTGTCTGCCCGCTGGCTGTAAACGCTTGACTGGGGCAACTGCCGACGTCCACAGTTTCAACTGGTGTTGCTGCAGTTCGGCCATTCTGTTGTGATTGGCGTCTGCAAGCGATATGTAGGTTTGGCCTCTTTTTCGTCGGACCAGGAGGGTAAAAGCCGCAATCCATGCTGTTCAAGCCCAAAAGCCACCAGACATGGCGGCATGAAGATCTCAAGGTTCCTGAAAATTCGTATTCGTTGGTCTTTTGAGCCTCGTGCATATGCTCCCCAAGCGGCAGTCCGAAACTGATATTGCGGGGTGTCCCGGATGATCATGTTTGAGGGCGGGTTGAGTTGACGAAAGTTGAGACGTTCCTGGGGCTCTTTCTGACGACATCAAGCAGTTGCCAATCGAACCACTCACATGAGGCTATTCCCTGCTGCTGTTGTGATATGTTAGTATAGATACCCCGCCCTGATGTTGTGTCGAGTGGCCGGTCGCTCAACATGCGGCCGGCCCGATAGAGAAGCATCGCAATGCTATGGTGGCCATATCACGACGCCTCCTCATCCCCCGCACCAGCCTCATCGGGAAGTTGCGTAGAAGATATCCAGTTCTCCATCATAGCCTGACCTCGAGGTCGGCCGGCAGCTTGGGACCTGCCGCTCGTCGACATTGCTAAACCTCCGCCCTTTCCGATGCCCTCCCGTCTTTTGACGACGAGGCACAGCACCCGGCCATAGATGGCGAAACCCTCGTATGAGATATCCATGCCCAACTTCTTCTTGTCGTCAGGTCCATCCATGTCTCGAGCGGCCGCCTTCTCCCGACGGCGCTTTGATGGGGGCGGCCTTCCAGCTGCTGTGTCACTGTCATCGTCGTCGTCTCCGTCACCAACGAACAGCTGATCATCTGATGAATCTGTATCAATCGTCTCAACAACGTCAGGATCAATCTCGGAGGGGTTCGACACGCCCTCATTCTCCCCGCTGGTTTGCCTGCGCCTCTTTGCTCTCCGATTGGTACTGGCCGAGTTTGTTGTTGTTTCATCTATCTCGGGGATGTCGTCCAGGTTGATGGCATTCTGATCATCATCCTCCTCGTGGATCAGTGGCACATCATCATCCCCATCGGTTGCCTCCTGGAGCACCTCATCCCCGTCAACATCAATGGGGGCGTCATGAACCCCGCCTGTCAGTTTTGAAGAGTTGGACGTGAGTTTAGTCTGCACTTTGTCACGAAAGTGCTTCCTCTTGTGCAACAGTGAGTGCCTCGTGTCGGTTTCCATCAGGAAGATCGACACCTCAAAGTCATCTGCTCTCAGTGGTCAGCATGAGCTGTCCGATTTCCACACACTTGGCAGGGCCCGAGAACCTGGGGTAACGATATGCTTCTTCTTACCTTGGACCACGACATCCTTGATGGTTCGTTTCTTGCTCTTTTTCTTCATGCGATCTCGCTCTTGCTCCTCGCGCAGTTTCGGCAAGACCAACGGCCGTACACTCTCAATAACTTTGGGAAGAATAGGGTCCCGTGGGTTCAGGAGCCATGACTGTGTCAGTGCGGGGTTGTCCAGGTATATGCGGCACTCGAGAACCGAATATTTGGTAATTCTCAAGTATCGTCGTATGGGTGTCATGGTTACCCATGAACCATCAGTTTCTTATGATGTTGAAGTTGAAGTTGAAGTCGGTAAACAATCAGATGAGTCGTAGGTAGCAATAACATGTCATGGAAGGGCGGTAAGTTCGTTCAGGTGGGGCTGCTTTTTCAGCCTTGCAGGGAAGGCGCCATCGGGCTGTGATGACGTGACGTCGTTTGCAATGGTCTGTGTCGACAAAGAATGAGCCAGAGAACTTCCACTTGACAATATATGCAACGACGATTTTGATTCTTGGTTATGTCGGTGTATCGCTCGCTTCTAATCTAAATACCATGGACTCATTAGATCCATATGTTGTATGCCTCCTTGATAGCAATCATATTTGCCTGATCTCCTTACCCGCCATCTCGGGCCTTTCCAGTTCCCATTCATCTCTCAACACCGCAAACATGAGGTCGCAAACTAACAGGCTCTGTCCCAGTCCCCACACAAGAGTAATGGCGTAGAAAAAGTTGGCATTGCCGCTGCCGGCGTAGATCCAAAGATAATAGAATGCCGGCCCAAGGAAAGAGGCATACATGATGACTGCCGCAATAACGAAGCTGTAGCGCATAAGTGGGAAGACGTGCCGGTATAATGGCACCATGGCCAAGAAGAGTGACGTGTCGCTGATGCTAGGATAAGGCTTGAAGATGGCGAATATTCCAAGAAGGAGGGTCAACACCACCAAGGGTTGCCGCCGGATCCGGACGGAAAGACCGCCGACGTAACAAGAGAGGTGAAGCCAGAAGACTGCCAGGAAGAAGGACCGGAAGGAGTCGAACATTTCGATAAAGAAGTACCACCACAGGCCGACATTGGGTGTCAGGTCTGACAGAGTCAACTGCACACCGTATGTGGATGGCAGGAATTCCCATGAGCCTGTGATAAGATACGACATGCCGAACAACAGTCCCAGCACACCGAACACAACCGGAACGTGTGATGCGGCAAAAGAGACGACTGATTTGTTGGCTCGTTCGGGGCGTTGTCTGTCGAAGCAAAGTAGAACAAGCGGCGGAAGTAATAATAACGGGTACATCGACAGATAGCTCGCAAAGGACAGCGCAACCATGGCGCTGAAGGGTGCGCCGGACACGGCCTTGGCGATGGCATGGAGAATCGCGCAAGTGGTGAATACGCTTGTGGACCTTCCGAGACATGTTGCCACGGTGAAGGGGTTGAAAAGGAAGCTACGTTCTGTCAGCATCTTCACGATCTCCTGCGCCCATATTCAGGGGTAAAAAGAGGTGCCTTACATAGCTGCAATGATGAATCCGTTCCATCTCCTTTCGCGACGCGGGGATGTAAATAGGGCAGATGAACCTGCCTCGCCCGAGTCCGCAATTTTCCATAGTGCGCTGGCACTCAACAAGTCGATCGCGATGTAGAGGAGGTAGGTAAATATCGGGTAGCTCAATGCATTCGGGAGTAGGGAGAACAGCGGAAGGAAAAGGGGCGCTTGGTGGTAGACACCACCATCGTATGGCGACACATTGTGGTTATAGAGAAAGAGGCCTTCTTGCACTTGAAGCTGGTTAGCATCCCGTCAAGAAAATCGACAAGAAAATCGGAGGCGCAATGTGACGCGACACCCTAAACTTACGGCGCTTGAAGCTGGTGACTGGGGTTGAGATCTCGACGCGGCCGGTCAACAGATCCGGGAGATCAGGAAGAAGAGTAAAAATGGCAAGCCGCAGAACGGCGGCGCCAGCATAGAGTGCCGCCGTTCTTCCCACCGTTACCTTGCCGCCATCCATATCTCAATGCGCCATCTCTTGAACACGCAAAACCGAAGATGAAGTCAGCGACAGAAGTCCCACCGTGGCCGAAATTTGGACGCCAAATTCGAGACTCCTGGGAGTCGTGCCAGCGAATCACTTGGGCCGCTGCATGCCTGGCGCGGCTCATGCAGGGAAGTCCTTGGTGGGGTCGCCGAGATGTCGATTCCCTTCTCTGATTGAGCGGCGCAACCATATCTCTTATCGCGTCCCGGCGGTGGGAGATGGCACAAAAAAAGTTTAGGAAGTGAATGGGAAAAAAAACACTGGAAAAGTTCACCTCCGCGGCCTGCAACCACTGCAAAGTTCTGGCCTACGCTGTGATTATTCGCTGACGAGGTCCCCCGATCAACACACAATGGCCAAAATTAAGAAGAAGGGCCAGTCCGGCCAGGCGAAGAACTACATCACCCGCACACAGGCTGTCAAGAAGCTCCAGATCAGCTTGCCCGACTTCCGCAAGCTTTGCATTTGGAAGGGAATCTATCCAAGAGAGCCCAGGAGTCGCAAGAAGGTGTCCAAGTCGGCCACCGCCTCCACCACCTTCTACTACACCAAGGATATCCAGTACCTCCAGCACGAGCCGCTCCTTCAGAAATTCCGCGAGCAAAAGGTTCTCGAGAAGAAGATCTCCCGCGCTCTCGGTCGTGGCGATGTTAGCGATGCTGCCCGTCTCGAGCGCAATGCTGGGCGTCCCGATCAGACCGGCAAGCCGCGCTACACCCTCCACCATGTCATCCGTGAGCGCTACCCGACCTTCATCGATGCCATCCGCGACCTCGACGACTGCCTGTCCATGCTCTTCCTCTTCGCCAACCTCCCCTCCACCACTTCAGTTCCCGCCAAGATGATCGCCCGGTGCGAGCGCCTTTGCCACGAGTTCCAGCACTACCTCATCACCTCTCACAGCCTGCGCAAGTCCTTCTTGTCTATCAAGGGCATCTACTACCAGGCCAACATTCAGGGCGAGGACGTCTTGTGGTTGGTCCCATACAAGTTCAACCAAAGGGTTGTTGGAGATATCGATTTCCGCATCATGGGTACCTTTGTCGAGTTTTACATGACCCTTCTCGGCTTCGTCAACTACAGACTGTACTCCTCGATCGGTCTCAAGTACCCACCCAAGTTTGATCAGACCAAGGATGACAAGGGTGCTGAGCTTGCCGCGCTCACGTTGGAGGGTGTCAACCTTGCGACAAACGAGGAGACTACCAAAGCGATTACCAATGGCGAGGGCCACGGTCCCGACCCCAAGGTTCAGGCTGAGGTTGACAAGCTGGTCAAGAAGTTGAGGACTGAATCTGCTGCGGACAAGGCTGATGAGGAGATGGCCGATGGCGAGGAGGAGGAGGAAGAGAAGGCCACCGACGCCATCGACAAGTTCGAGCCTGCTGCTCCCGGCGGTGACGTTCTGCCACAGCCAACATACAGTGGCAACAATCCCTCCAAGCTCTTCGCCAACTGCACCCTCTTCCTCTCGCGTGAAACCCCCCGTCAGTCTCTCGAGTTCATCCTTCGCGCGTTCGGCTGCAAGAGGATAGGTTGGGACCCAATCCTTGGTGAGGGCTCCTTTACAACCGACGAGTCCGACCCTTCCATCACACACCAGATCGTCGACAGACCAATCGTCCAGGCCGCTACCACCGAGCAGGGAGATGGCGAGGATAACCAGACCGCACAGAAGCTCGGACCCAACCAAAGATATCCCGGAAGAATTTACGTGCAACCGCAGTGGGTGTGGGACTGCATCAACGACGAAGAACTCAAGAGCCCAGAGCTTTATGCCCCTGGTGCCAGCCTGCCACCACATCTCAGCCCCTTCGTTAAGCCTACGCAAGGTCAATACGACCCTACCGTTCCTCTCGAGGAGCAGGAGACCGAGGGCGAGGCTCTCGACGCTGCGATCGAGGATGCCAAGGATGAGGTTGAGAGTGATGAGGAGAACTCCGAGGCTGATAACGACATGGACGTCGCCGACGACAACGATAATGATGAAGAGGAGGACTCTGATGCCGAAGAGGACGAGGAGGTGGAAGACGAGGAAGATGAAGATGAGGACGAGGAGGAGGTCCTGCAGAGACAACGTGAGCTCGAGGCTGAAATCTCAGGCAAGGCTGTCAAGAGCAAGCAAGTAGACCCCAAGCTCAAGGCCAAGCTGGAGAAGAAGAAGGCGCTCGAAAGGAAAAAGAAGGAGGAGGCCGAGGATCTGGAGCGCGCCAAGGGTATGCTGAGCAAGAAGAAGCGCAAGCTGTTCGAGCAGATGCAGTACACCAACAAGAAGAAGAGCACAGAGGACATGAAGCTGCGCTCCAAGAGGAGAAAGCTGGAAAAAGAAAAGGCTGCTGGCAAGGCGTAATCATTTTGTTTGTTAGGCGCTTCTTGGTTTTTATCAGATACCACTGTTCTCTCAATGCGGTTTTGATCACTTGAGATGATGGGATATGTTGTTAAATGACTTTGTGCTTTAATAAGACTCTTCCACCTGCACCCAGGCAATGTTAGTCTACCTTTGGTGGACACTTGGCCGTTCTCTTGCACCTGGAACTCGAAAAAAACACTAGTAGTTTGAAGCGAAATGTAACTTATGACAGATTTGAGTACAGTGAGTGTTGGTATTTAGATGACACTCATATCAGATGTCTTGTCATCTACCTTCATTGACCTGCAAACATCTTCAAGTCTCCGGAGACCCCAAAGACATCTAAAATGTTTAGCCTTAAACAGCGTAACAATACACTCAACGCTCTAATATATTCCTCCATGTAACCCCCTTCCCAATCATTTTTTGGAACGATCCCAAGTTCTTCGTCCGTTAAGCCAGCTCTCCAACACTTTCATGACTGACTGAGCAAAAAGACGCAACTACCTATCAGGCTTATGTACATAGACCCACCTGTCACCAAAAATAGAGTCAAAATGGAGACAAAAACATACAACACCAGGGATTCCCCAGTGGTCACCCACCTGAGTACTGATCTGGCGATTAGCTGTTTATCTAGGGGAGAGCGGACGGGATCCCGAGCTTTCAGCTATCTATGGTCGTATGTGCTTTGCTGTGGCGAAAACAGCGTTCATAATGAGGTTTGATAAGAGAGGTGGCTTTACAGGGTTAGGGTTGGACGGCGTAAGTGATACTTTGGTAGGGCGACCTCTTTCAAACTGCAAATTCAAGTCAAACTGAACCACAAACATTCGATTTTCATCAACGCTCTGGGCAACCTTGAAGAAGTTGCACCGAATATGCTAATATTTGAGCTTCTTTCTCATATGAACTGAGATTTGGCTTTCAGTTTTCTTCAGCCTGGAGTTTACGTCTTTTTTTGCATGAGTGGCGCTCACTCACCAACCAGCCATCTCACCTCTCATTCACTCACTCACACCCGCACCACTCACATCAAAATGGACTTTTCCTCCTCCCAAATCCCACCCTCCTACCAACCTACTCTCAAAAGACCCGCCTCACAAATCTCATCCTACGACCACGACCTCCCAGAAACCCTACCCGCCACCCACAACACCCTCACACCAGCTGAACCCCCCCAAGAGGAGGAATGGCGCGACCTCTCCACCTCCTCCATCGCCTCCCTCTTCTCGGACGAGCTTAACGAGCGCAGACCAAACAGGTGGAAGGGCAACCCATCCACCTGGCGCACCTGGACCAACAACGAGAGAAAGACCTGGGAGTCGATTGAGAATGTGAGGAAGGGGGATCTAAGCGCGCATTTGTATAACGCTTTTGCTTTGAAGAAGGGTGTGAGGAAAGGGCCCGAGGAAACTTTCTCCTGTGTTGGAGAGGGGAAAGATAACCGGGGGTGGAATGTAGGGAGGGGGTGGACTGCTTGGCCTTTGGGGGTGGAAGAGGTTCCTGGGGATGGGTTGTTGGATTTGGAAGCTGAGGATGGGAATCAGGAGTTTACTTTCAGGAGGAAGGAGGAGGAGGGGGATAGGTGGCCGGGGAGGAATTTGGAGGAGGTGGTTTCGGCTACTGTGTTGAGGTTGGCGAAGGAGAGGTTTTATAGGAGGGTGAAGGAGTGGGAAGGCAAGGGGAAGGGGAATGGGGAAGATGAGGAGGAGGGCCAGGAGAAGGGGGATGTGATGCAGTCGATCGAACAGGGTGGTGATGATGAGGGTGGGGTAGGGGATGAGGAAGATGAAGTGTCGGGCATGGAAACAGGCTACGATACTGCTGCCGGGGAGACAGATGCAACCGGGGCGGGTTCTACAAAAGGAGGAAGGAAACGAAGGATGTCATCAATAGCAAAAGCCGAGCAGACATTCACGCCAGTCATGTCGGCGGATGATGAGCGAAACTATGCGTTAGTGCGGCCTGCAGCCAGGAGGATCATGGAGCAGTTGGATAAGACGCTTACGGTAATGCACTATGCAAGAGCTGCTGCTGTAAGTGGTATGTATGGAGGTGATAGTGATGAGGACGAAGACTCCGAGGATGACGAAGACGGAGAGTCTCGCAAGAATATGATGGACGTTGATGGGAAGCCAGCACTGAGCAAGCCACGAGGTCGATCAAGAGGAAGAAGTCGCTCCAGAGCAGGCAGTTCGCCGAGGAAATTGAGGTTCAGGTCAAGTTCAAGATCAAGTTCGAGCGATTCTTCCGGCAGCAACGTGTCGACCAAGATCTCACGAATCGGGTTGCTAAACTGGCGGGATGTTCTTGGTGCAGCTGCTCTCGCTGGCTTCTCACCAGAGGTTATTGCCAGGGCAACACAGCGCTGCTCTAATATTTTCAATGAAGAGATGGTGATGCATACCCTTCCCGAGCAAGCCGTTACCTCGGGCAAACCGGCCATTCAGACCGTACGATACCGACCAAATCTCACTGAACCTCAGAGTGCTCTATCGGAGGACAACGACTCCGAAGACAATAAGCAACTCCTCGCTCACCACCTGATGATTAACCGCCAGTCTACTGTTGCTCTCACTGCAGAGCCTGCCGATACTCCAGCACCAACGAAAAGAGCAAGCACACCGGCTGCCCGATCCCGAACAAGTAAGTCAGCTACACCTGGCGGTGGTGCTGGAGGGGCTCATCTTTGTCCATTCAACGATTGCCCTCGCGCTGTGGAAGGCTTTAACAGAAATACGAATCTCCAGAGGCACATCAAGCTTGTACACAAAGTCGAAGCCTCGGCAGCAGTGCGCACTACAGAGGAGGAGGATAGCGAAGACCAGTTGGTAGGAGGTGTTCACACTGACGGGTTTTTGCAGCCTATTAAGATGAGGAAGGGTTGGAGAGGTGATGATGCTGGCAACCGCCAAAAGCGTGGAGCGAAACCTCGTTCAGGCGGTCGGGATACTGGAGATGAAGGTGAAGATGATCGGGTTTCTCGGTAGTGATCTGCATAATTTACGGACAGGGCGGTATGTGCATATACGGCACTTCGCTTTCGGTTTTGCTCCCACGCTCCTCCTACCGTTTGACTGGGGATAAAGCTGAGCTGTCCAGTGTCAGCTTGGAATCGATAGCAAGAATCGGGCGATGCCATTGCAGAGCTGAACCAATCAGTTGGAATCCCAATTGACATTGACGTGGGTCTAGATCCGGCGCTATCAGAATTCGTTGTCTTCAGACTAAGACAGCGGCCCCCTGCTGTGATACCTATTCGGGAACAGGCCATTGGCTGTGGAAGTTGCGATATGGGATGCGGCTGGCTGAGAGATGCAAACCCCATGGAAGTCCGTTGGGAGTAATAAAAGTCTAGAACTTGAGATCTAAAATGACCCTTTTCCTTCGTCTTTATGTGCTTTGGACAGCCGCGTCATCAGGTCAGCACGGAAGTGACCATGCTGGTTGTTGGTTTGCCCATCCGAACTTCTGTCGGCAAGAGCACTCGATTGAGTGACTTCTGAACTTTGACTAAAATTTGCCTTTGGCTTCCTGTCACTCTTTTATCTGCATTGTGTTTTTCACCATGGCGTCGTTATTATCCAGGCCGGGCGGTAGCCCAAGAGCGGAGCTGATGCTCCTCGTGATGGTGGCCTGTATGCTTCTGGTGACCTATTCGTCCTTGCAATCAGCACGATCAGAGGTTTGTTCATTGGCGATTTCCTTAAGCGTCATTCTTTTCTTTAACTCCCGTGCCAGGTCACTGATAGGATCCCACTGAAGGAGGAATCGGTTCTCGAATCATTGACGAAAGTCGACGTGCAACAACATGTGGCCGTAACGACAAGCTCTAGCAGTATTGTTAGCACCACAACCACTGTCGCTACGACATCCAACACTTCTTTACCAAACACCCCTTTACCAGAAGCGACACCAATTCAACTCGACCAAGAACCCCCGCTTGACTTCGACTCAAGTCTGGATGTCGCGCCCGAGAATGCTCTGGATAAGACCGACAGTCCACCAACAGACTTTGATGGCCTAGAGGAAGACTTTTCCATCCCACCAGCCGATCCAGCAACCCCAAACAAAGTTTTCAAAGCAGTCCTCATCGAATCTTCACTCACCTCACCCGCTCTGGTTCCCGTCCTCATGCACTTCTCCTCCGTCCTTCCCACCCACTGGTCCTTGGTGATCTTCACCTCCCCAAACAACTTTACCGTTCCCCAATCGCCAGCCTTCCGCAACCTCTTGTCCTCCAGACGACTAGACATTCGCTTCCTGCCCAAGAATGTCACCTTTACCAATAGCGTCTCGGTCTCCAGGTTTCTCGCGTCTTCCAACGGCTGGTTGTGGAACGAGCTGGCTGATGCCGAGCGAGTCTTGTTCTTCCAGCTCGACAGCATCATCTGCGCCAACTCGATCGCCACCATTGACGACTTTGTGAAGTGGGATTATGTAGGGGCGCCGATTAATAGCACGTATGGTGAAGGGTACAATGGGGGGTTGTCAATCAGAAACCCGAGGTTGTTTTTGGAGGTGGTGAGGGCAGGGAATTACACCAGGGGGTTTGAGGATCAGTGGTTTTATAAGAAGTTGAAGGAGAGGAGGGCACAGGGGGATTATAGGGTTAGGTTGCCGGGGGTGGAGGAGGCGAAGAGGTTTGCGGTTGAGACGCTTTGGGGGGATAGGCCGCTGGGGTATCACCAGCCGCAGAGGTGGTGGAAGGGGAAGGCTGGGGAGAGGATGGGGGAGATTGAGGAGTGGTGTCCTGAGGTTGGGATGCTGATTGGGAGGAGGGCGAAGTAAAGTTCTTGAGAAGGGATTTTCTTTGGTGCAGATAGATAAAAGCATGGAGGGATACGCAAGACAGCTTCTGGGGGGAAGAGCATATCATTCATTTTGTTTTGAGGCTGATGCTGATGGTTGGCACACAACGCATGGGTGGCTTGGTGGTTGGGGATGACGGTTAGGCACTTGCCTTGTAATAAAGATAATGGAATAGAAGAACAAGTTGGTCAAAAACCCAACTACGAAAATTGACCCTCAATCTGTCGTTGTGATGGTGTGCTCACGTTGCATTTGAGCCGCAATTTTCTATCATATGTAAGGGAGCCAAGCTGACAGTTAGGAAGCTTTCGGCCGATTTATACCGACATCGCCGACCCGCTCTCGAAAAATCTCCAAACCACCACTTTTTCCCCGACCAGGCCGCCATGACGTGACGTTGCGACGGAGGGGAACAATGTCCAAATCCTGGCAGTCCACGCTACGGCTGCCCAAGTCAAGTTTCCCGTAAGGATCTTCTGTTTGCCCACCGTTTCCCCCCCAAAATCAATTTGCTCAGTTTTTCGTCTTGCCATTCAGAAACCGGCCGCGACTCCACGAACGGAAGCAGTACATCCTGCGATGCACCGATGATTTTTACGAGTGGCAGGCGGCCAATCGCCCTGCCGACAACGAGTTCCTCCTTCACGACGGGCCCCCATACGCCAATGGCGAGCTTCACGCTGGCCACGCGCTGAACAAGATCCTCAAGGACATGATTAACCGGGTCAAGGTCCAGCAAGGTGCGCTTGACGCTGCTTGGGAATACCCCGCCGTGCGACACGTTACTGACCGGTTGTGGGTGGGGTGTAAACTACAGGTCGCCGCGTCAAGTACGTACCAGGATGGGACTGCCATGGTCTCCCGATCGAGATGAAGGTTGTCGAGGCTGCCGAGGGCGGTAAGAAGATGTCGCCGGGGGGTATCCGAAAAGCTGCCCGCAAACTCGCCTCCTCGACGGTCAAGGCCCAGATGAACAGCTTCAAGTCGTATGCCGTTATGGCCGACTGGGAAAATAGGTGGACGACGATGGACACCGAGTTTGAGATCAGGCAGCTGCGGTTGTTCCAGAAGATGGCTCAGAGGGGGCTCATCTACCGGAAACATAAACCTGTGTATTGGTCGCCGTCGTCGGCTACTGCGCTGGCTGAGGCTGAGCTGGAGTACAATGAGGCCCATGTGTCAAAGTCGGCGTGGGTTAGATTACCCATTGTCAGTGGGTGGCAGGAGGTGATTTCTGGGCTGGAGGGGGTGGATAAGGATGCAAAGCTCTATGCGGTGATCTGGACGACGACACCCTGGACGCTTCCTGCAAATCAGGCGATCGCGGTGCGCGACGATATGACTTACTCTATCGTCAGGTTTGCCGATTACGAGGGGCTTCACCTTGTGAGCATACCAGAGGGAAGCGCAGGTGGAGATCTCCCCGAGATATCCGAAGTGCTGGGCAAGGTCCAGGGCTCTGAGCTGACGAGGCTGAGGTATCTCAACCCTCTCCTGGATGATTTGACTGCTCTGGAAGGCCGTCCTATCATCCATGCCCCCTTCGTGAGAGGCGATTCAGGAACGGGTATGGTGCACTGTGCCCCAGGTCATGGTTTTGACGATTACCTGGCCTGCGAAGCTCTGGGAATCCCAGCAGTTTCACACGTGGACAATGAGGGTCGCTTCACTGATAAGGCTTACCCCAGGAACCCTGATTTACTTGGGGGAATTCCCGTCCTGGAAGGCGGTAGTGACGCCGTGTTGGACTTGCTTGGCAACGAAAATGGGTACATTCTCAAGGTCAAATATTACAAGCACAAGTACCCATATGACTGGCGGACGAAGAAGCCCATCATCATCCGCGCCACAGCTCAGTGGTTTGCCGATGTGGGGAGCATCAAGGAGCAAGCCCTGGCTGCGCTTGAGGAGGTGCGTTTTGTGCCCGAGACTGGAAAGAACAGACTGGAGGCTTTTGTCAAGGGCCGGAGCGAATGGTGTATTTCGCGTCAACGATCCTGGGGTGTGCCCATCCCGGCTCTGTATGATGCGAATGGCAATGCGGTCGTGACTGATGAGAGCATTGACCACATCATCTCTGTGATCAGGGAAAGGAAAATTGATGCCTGGTGGTTTGATGATGCCCATGACCCTGCGTGGTTACCGGAGTCACTGCGCGATCGGGCGGCTGAGTTCCGCCGTGGTCAAGACACCATGGACGTCTGGTTTGACAGTGGTAGCAGCTGGACCCAGACGGACAAGCAAGCTGATGTGTACCTCGAGGGTAGTGATCAACATCGCGGGTGGTTCCAGTCGTCTCTTCTGACCCGGGTTGCTGCCATGGTCGCTCAGGACGCTCCAGGAGGGTCATCAACTACCAATACTCTTGGTCTTTCACCTTTCAAAACACTCATCACTCACGGATTTACACTGGATAAGGACGGCAAGAAGATGTCCAAGTCTCTCGGGAACATCATCTCTGCCAATGAGGTTATGGACGGCTCGCTTCTTTTTGAGCCACCCCAGGCTGGTCAGCCACAAGGCAGAAAGAACCGCGAACCAGAAGCGCTGGGCCCGGATGCTCTGCGCCTTTGGATTGCAAGCAGTGACTACACAGGCGATATCATTCTAGGCAAGCCAGTTCTCCGGACTGTCCATCAAGTCCTGCTCAAGTACCGCACCATCATCAAGATGTTCACCGGAAGCATGCAGCCTGATGCCCGCACAGCCCCCTTAACAGTGGCCGATCACATTGCGTTGATCCAGCTCAAGGACGTCATGCAAGAAGTCGGCAAGTACTACGACAACTACGAGTTCAACAAGGCGCAAGCGGCCCTCAGCCGCTGGGTTGTCAATGACGTGTCGGCTTTCTACCTGGAGACACTCAAGGACAGACTATACTGCGGTGACTCTGGCGGCGTTTTGGAGCCCATCTTCAACGGCCTGTTGAGAATGCTGGCGCCCGTCACGCCCGTGCTTGTCGAAGAGGCATGGGAGTACCGCCCTCAGTGGATGAAGGATGATGCTTCTCTTGTTCACCCTCTCAAGCAGCTTTATGACGCCCCGCTTATTGAACCTGTTAGACTTAGTTACGATGAGAAGACCATCCGGGAGAGCATCCCTGCTATTATGGCTGCGCATGGCGCCATCAAGGCTGCTTCGGAGCGGGCGAGATTGGACAAGGTGCTCGGCTCGTCGCTGGGGTGCTCGGTTGTGTTGGTGTCTCATGCTGAGGGTGGGTTGGCTGTTTTGGAACGGTTCAAGGATGAGCTGGATGCCATGTTTGTGGTTTCGGCGGTGGATATTGTTCAGTCTAACGGAGGCGAGACGCCCAAGGAGGTTGAAGGGGCGGAATGGAAGTATAGTGAGGTGTTTGAGGTCGGTGGGAAGGCTCATACGGCGTATGTTCTGCCTCCGAAGCAGCATAAATGTCCCCGGTGCTGGAGGTATGTTGCGCCGGTGGAGGATGCGCTTTGCGGGAGGTGTGGGGAGGTTGTTGAGGCGTGGGCTGGTGAGGCTGCCAAAGAGGTGTAAATAGATGAAATACCCTTTCTCTTGAAGAGCCACAGGAATTGCAAGATATGTACAATACATCACTTGACCGCACAACCCTGACTTTGTGAACGGGGAGCTCGAGCTTAGACCCCAGACTCGAGCTGCCGCCGGCAAATCGTCCCCATCGATAAGACCCTTGGCAGCCAATTGTGGGGCACAACTTTTTCTTATCGAACCTTTCTTCGATGCAGTTTCTCGAAAATTGTTTGCAGGCATTCACTTTTCAACAGCTTCGCGCGCGCAGACATTCCCAAGTGTTGCGACAGTACCACGTCGCCAATTGATTTAATTTACAGACAGTCATGGATATCCTCAAAATCCTCTCCCGAGGCACAAAGCCAAACCCGAAAAACCAAACCGCAAAGGGTTCAGCCGCCGCAGTCGCAGCCACAGCAAAGCTCCCCTCCGCCGGCGCGGTCCCCCACCCGCAGCTCTTCAACGACCCGGTGTCTTCCTCCTCGAGGGGGAAGAAGAGGAAGAGGAAGAATAAGAGTGGTGATAAAGATGCTGAAGATGACGGGCCGGGAAACGACGACGAGGACGACCTAAGCGACGTCGACTTTTTCGCGCCGCCCAAGCCCAGGACTGAGGCTGTTCAGCAACACAATGAAGAGGATGGAGAAGACCAAAAGAAAAAGAAGAACAAAAAGCGCAAGGTCAAGACGCTGGACGAGGACGAATGCAAGCAGATTTTGAGGTCGCACAGGTTAAAATTTACGTTGCTGTCCGAGTCGGTTGGTGGTGTTGCTGAGTTGGAGGCGCGGGCGGTAGAGGGGAAGAAGGAGAAGAAGAAAAAGTCGAAGGAGGGGGGGGAGGAAGAGGGCAAGGAAAAGGGGCCCAAGAAGGGAAAACTTGCGCAACTCTGGCCCCAGCCTTTGACTGCGTTTGGGCAGCTGAAGTATGATTATGGGATCAATCAGACTTTGGCAGATAATATTACACGACAGGGGTTTAAAGTCCCCACGGAAGTGCAGATGGGCGCGCTGCCGCTTTTGTTGCAGTCGGGGACGGCGCTGGGGGATAAGGAGATGGAAAAGGGGGTGGACTTTCTGGCTGTTGCGCCGACGGGGAGCGGGAAGACGATTACGTTTTTGATTCCGGCTATTGAGGGGGTTTTGAAGGCTAGGGGGGAGGTGAATGAGGGGGAAGAGGTCAAGAATGAGCTGAGGGCGATTGTGGTTGCGCCTACGAGGGAGTTGGCGAGTCAGATTGTGAATGAGGGGAGGAAGTTGGCTATTGGGACGGGGGTGAGGGTTGTGTTGATGAAGAGGGGGTTGAGATTGCAGGCAGAGGGTAGAGCGGAGAAGGCTGAGGAGGATAGTGACTCTGAGGATGAAGAGGAGAAGCCAGAGGAGGCAGAGCAAGACCAGGACGAGGATGAGGAAGACAAGGAAGACAGTGACGAGGAGGATGGCGACGACAAGAAAAAAGATCGGAAAGAAAAACCTCTGGCGAGAGTCGATATCCTCGTTACCACCCCGAAAATCCTCCTCAACTTTCTGTCTGACGACGGCAAGCTCACCAACTCCAAGAGAACCCTCCCCACAGTCCGAAGCCTCATCCTCGACGAAGCCGACGTCCTCCTCGACCCCATCTTCCGCAAGCAAACCATGGCCATCTGGAAGTCTTGCGTTCACCCCGACGTAGCCCTGACCTGCTGGTCAGCAACAATGGCCTCTAACATCGAAGCCCTCGTGACAAAACACCTCTCCAAACGCGCCAAACACTTCAACATCTCCCGCCCTCTCATTCGTCTGGTAGTCGGCCTCAAAGACACCGCCGTTCCCAACGTAACCCACAAGCTGATTTACACCGCCACCGAGCAAGGCAAGCTCCTGGCACTCCGACAACTCCTCCACCCAGCCTCCTCTTCCGACTCCGGCCCCCCATTGCGCCCCCCATTCATAGTGTTTACCCAAACCATTGACCGCGCCAAGGCCCTGCATAAAGAACTGCAATTCGACATCCCCCTCGAAGCGGGCGGGCAGGCCCGAATCGCAGTTCTTCACTCCTCGCTGAGTGACCAGATCCGCTCCAAAATCATGACAAAGTTCCGGACGGGTGAAGTCTGGGTTTTGATCACGACCGACGTCCTCGCCCGGGGCGTGGATTTTGCAGGTGTGAACGGTGTAGTCAACTATGACGTCCCTACTTCAGCGGCGGGGTATGTTCACCGTGCCGGGCGGACTGGTCGTGCTGGGAGGGAGGGTGGTGTAGCTGTTACTTTTTACACAAAGGAGGATATCCCGTTTGTGAAGTCGGTGGCGAACGTCATTGCTGCGAGTGAAAAGCAGGCTGGTAAGGCGGGCAGTGGGGAGGAGTCGGTCAAGAAGTGGCTTTTGGATGCGCTGCCCAAGGTTGCGAAGGAGGATAAGAGGAAGTTGAAGGTGAGGGGTGTCGAGGCGAGGAGGGCTGGAGGAAAAGAGGCGAGTATTACTACGCAGAGCAGCTGGGAGAGGAGGAAGGAGAATAATAAACGGCAGGCGATTGAGGCGAGTAAGAAGAGGAAGAGGATGGCGTTGCAGGTGGAGAAGCAAGGTGGTGGAAAGAAGAAGGATGATGATAGGGAGGAATGGGGTGGGTTGGATGATTAGTTCGTTGTTGTTACCGGAAGTAAATACCCTTTTGTTGTAGAATTATCAAAACGGACGCGCTGGTTGTAGAGAATTAATCTGTGTACTGTTCAAAGCCTATCCATATCTACACCCCAAAACTACCCCTTATTCAACTGCTACCCCCTCTTCCCAGGATAATACCCCTCCGGCAAAAACAACCACGTCTCCGGCCTAAAAATCACCTCAAAACCAACCCCCCCATATGTGCCCACCGCACAACTCAAATCATGATACCCCTCCAACCCCGTCATGGGCAAATCAGTCGAGTCACCCTCCTCGTGCAAATTCCACCTCCCAGCCTGCAGCCCGTTCCTCGTAAAGAAAATCTCCGTCTCCATCCTCCCTGCCACCGCGGTAAAAGTAATACCGATACCATACCTCTCCCCGACTCTAAACGGTCCCGTAAAGTCCTTGCCTCCCCACCGGTCATTGATGAACTTGTGGCCGTCATCACCGTGAACAGCCAACGACCCGCGGTGCCAGCCAGGCTGCCGGAAGGATGGGTAAGGGAGGGCGGTGAACCCCAGACTGAGACAAATCTCGTGGGGGTTGGCGGCCGAAGTGATGGCGACTTCGTAGTAGATTGTCTTCTCTGGGGTGGGGGAGGTGAAGGGAGAGTGGGTTTTTACTGTGTAGAGGGGGGGATAGCCGATAATGCTGGGTTTGGTGTTAGCACTGATTAAAAGAGTTGAGTGATGATAACGGAAAAACAAAACATACCAAGAATCAGTGGCGTTCCTGTCTGTCTGACCGGCCCAAATGCCGTGCTCTTTGAACTGGAGGGTTCCCTTGAACACATCGGGGACCATCAGACGGGGGTTGTGGTTGTTTTGAGCCTCCAGGGAGTGGTGGTCGAGGTCAATGGGCGGGGAAAGGGGGTGCTGACGGCACCATGCTTCGCCTGCTTCGGCTTCGGCCTCGGTGGCGTTGGTTGCGTGGGAGGAGTCATACGCCGCGAAGAAAGCAGGAGGGGGTGGAAAGAGAGAGGTGTCCGGGACGACTGACTCCCAGTCGTGCTTGGTCTCCTGGGGTTTAGATGCTGCGGGAATGGGAGGAGCGCTGGGAGGGGGAATGGAGGCGTAGTCATTACGCGGGAGAGGAGGACCAGGAGGGGGGGCGTAGTCGTTGCTAGCTCCGTGAGACGGTGGAGGCCCGGGAGGAGGAGCAAAGTCGTCACCAGCTCCGTGGGAATGGGGCGGCGGTGGTCCCAGGGGAGGTGCGTAGTCATTCCCGGTTCCGTGAGAAGGGGGTGGTCCGGGAGGAGGCGCATAGCTCTCTACAGCCGGCCGGGTATGAGAAGGAGGCGGCCCCGGAGGAGGGGCATAGTCGTTGGCTGGTAACTCAGCTGGTGCATTAGGGTTGTGGACTGAGTCAGGAAGCTCAACGGGCATGGTGTGAGGTGTAGCTTGTGTCTGGCTGTACAGATTATTGGAATTCCAGGATGCTGGAGGTTGAACAGCAGAGAGGGGGCTAGGAGGCGGCGGCTGGTTATATTGCTGCTGATGCTGATGCTGCTGGGGCTGTGCCTGGTGTGATGACGAAGCGCTTGCTTTTGGCTCAGGTGCATACGTTGGCTGCTGAGGCGCCTGCCCTGGAGCTGGTCGTGGGGGGAGATCATCCCCATCATAGAGGTTCTTTTTGCTGCCGAAACACATTTTGGCTGGTTTCAGATTCTGTTTTGTTTCCTTTTGGTGAGATGTTGTAAGCGCACACGTTTTAAAGCGACTGGATGTTGGATGGTTGCCCAGTCACGAAGCACCTCAGCCAACGGGTGATAGACAAAGGTCAGTGAATGCCTTGCCTTTCAAATTCCAAACCCTATAGCAACAGAACGACCGGCTTTAATGTCCTTCTTGCGGCATCAGATGATGAGTGATGGATTAGGACACGGAGGGACCAACTGACACGCGCTGGATAGAGAACCTTTTGGGGTGCGCAGCCACTGCCAAGATGGCGCTAGCCACCTGCGTAACGAGGCTTGATAACAGCACAAGAACCCTCCAATTCCCCGAGGCAGTCGCTATCTGCCCCACATTGCACCACCTGGATGATGACGTTGCTGCCAGATCTGACGGACTTACAATCTGTGGCGTTTAGCTACAGACCGTTTGAGTGGGGGACTGTACCCAGTCAATATTTGGAAACTGGCGAGGCCAGTCCAATCTTGCTCGAAGTCTCCTGGTGACGTGGAAAGTAAGTTTGGCTTGGCGTTCCTGGCGCACTTTCGGAGCCGATGTCCGATGACTACCGGACCGGTATAGGCCTTCCGTCGGCCCGATCGGATTGTGGATCTCGGCGAAGAGTTGACGATGAATAAGGGCAAGTATGTACGCCTGGGAAACACAGCTTTATATGATGTGGCTTAGACCGAACGCATCGTGTAAGGATAAGGTCCCGGTATTGCCCTTGATATCTTCAATGCTTGATATGTTATCACAGATAGTGAAAATCAAGTTGAGAACTTCTGAGGACAAATGAAAATGGCTAAAACTGCGTTTATTAACATCAAGTTATCTTCAAAGTATCACACAAATCAAACAAGTCAAATTTAAAGGCCTATTTGACATAATAAAAAAATTTAACGGTATATTTGAAATGATTTAAATTGAATTAAGTAGCCTAAATACTATTAAATCATATCACTAATTACTACCCAATAACTATATCTACTACTGACATATACCTGTTCAAATAGGTTCCTGTAGGGTCTATTTTACAGTAGCTTACTGCTGTGTCACGGTTTTGGAAGACAGTGGGGCTACGGAGGACCAATCAGGACTGGACCGGGCGATCGAGCGGGGCTCACGGTCTAGATGGGCAAACGGACCAATAAGATGGGGACCGGGGACCGCGGCGGGGCTCACGGTCCACGGTCCAGTATCGGCCAATCAGGAGTGGACCGAGGACCGTCTGTAAGTCAACGGTCCACGGTCCCAAGGTCTATATATACGGAGGAACTGGCTGGTGTAGATAGACAGTTGCGCAGTATGCAATTCAAGTCACAATCGTTGGTATCCAGACTGTTGTGATTGAGACAAGCCATTTGTTGTACACTGTTTAGCTGTACCGAACCAGGATTGTTCAGAAGCGCCTTCTACTAGTATCCCTTTCAGAGGTTCTGGATAGGGGTTCGTCACACGTTGTTAAAGAATTACTTGGCAACAAGGCGAGTGGTGGAGGAGGTCGTTCGGGCGTAGGCCGCCACACGCATCGCCCCCTTGTTGAACGGAGTCGAGCGAGTGTGAAGAGTCAGATGAATCAAGCCTATCCGGATCTTTCTGTTGGAAATCATCATATCCGTAGGCGTGTGGGCGCTGTATGTCATGATCTCGGGGCAAAGACCTTCCAGCTCCAAGGTCTTGTCAAACCAGCCAGGTGTGTCCCACTGCGGTGCAATTGACTCTAGTTGTATATCCTCTTCGTCCTCCTTGATGGACACGAGCTATTAACCAGGTGATGTTGCTCTTTTCCGCCCCCGAGTACCATCAGCATTGCTTCCGCTTCTCAATGCCAAAGAAAGATGAACGCTGGTATTCGAGATGGACATCGAGGTGGCCTGCACGATCAAGCCCTGTAGAGCACTGTACTAGTTCCCTAGATTTAACTCGGGGAACGTGAGGCCTGACTTGCCACAGCGATGAAGCTTGTTGTTGACCTGCTCGCTGTAGTAATTGTCAGGAAGTAGGCTAGCCCCTGCTCCAGCTCCCGCATAGACCTGCGCGAAGACCGCGGCCATGCGATCGGTATGAGCAGTGATGCGCAAGAAGATGTAGTTGATGTTCAATTTGACCAGTCTGTGGATCAGCCAGTTGTACGTAAGGCCGTGATGCTCACTACCTGGCTCCATTCAGCTATCACGCAATAATTCATTCAAGTCTCGACCCTGCGGTGGTGCATCGGCGATGTGAATGAGGCACCGGGTTTGTTGCTGCCAGGGACTTTTGGTGGCCCTCTGTACGGCGCCAAGAACATCTTCGGGATAGTCGTCTCCTCTAGTTGCGGTCAAGGTGTTAAGAAAGACCAAGACTCCCTCAACGGAAGTTGTAAAGTCTTGAAACTGGATATGGGGTTTGTCCCGGTGATCTTTGTACCCAACCACAGCAATACGTAAGGTGGTTTCGTCAACGAATAATCTTTTGACCCCAGCTACGGTACTCTTGATTTGTTGTTTGACGGCGTCGAGATATGCTTTCAGAGGATGCGTGGTATCGACGAGAAATAGCAGGTCGGTTCAGCAGACTGCCTTGAAGATCCCCTTCGTGTTGCGTGGTGGTAATGCAGCGTTTGCTCTGTCCACCGCTTCCAGGAACTGACGTATCCGAACCGTAGAGCTGACGGCAGATGCTGTTGAAAAGGTACTGCGAGGGCCGACTCTGGAGGCAGAGCCCTCCACAGACGACCCAACGCTAACAAAGCTCATCTGCGAAGGTGTTGATATCACAGATTCCGAGGGAGTTAAAATTCCAGATTGAGTAGGAGTCGACCTGTCAGATTGCAAAGATAGTGTACTTCTCGTAGGCACAGAACGCAAAAAAGCATTGACGATGGCAGTTATTTCAGCGCGCGAGGCTCTGGAGCGAGAGATGGACTCCATGATTGCTAGAGACTACTGTACGGTTGCCGGAGAGAACGTCTGAGAAGGGGAGCATCGCCTTGCCTATATATGTGTATTAGCGGGCAAAAATTTCGAGTGAGATAAGCACTTTGTGTTTAACTGCTGTCATCTCCTTTGATAGGTGATTAGGAAATCTTTAAACGCCACTTTAAAAGGGAATGTTGTGGAGTCGGTTGGATGGTGAAAGAACCGGTCGAACTTTGGGGTCTATTTACACGTAATAGCCATTACCCATTACCCACCACTACCATCACACAGGTGTGTACTTCTCACTGTGGAATGGTGGAGCGGTGCCTAATACGGCTGAGACAGACCATGTGAGAGATGTGGTAACAGCCTCCGGTGGGTGGCCGTTTGCTCCGGTCGAGCCCCAGGTTACGAGAGGAATGAGTGAACAAAAAGACTTAGTGTGCTGACACCTCCCAATCATAACCTCCAATTACGAAGTTTAAAGGGCAGATGGTGGAGGTGAAAGATCCCAACCGAGCCAAAATTCCTCAACAGTTCCGTAGGTACTCTTAGCTCATGGTATTCTGCAGCCGGGCCAAAAAGACACATCTCGGATGGTGGGATTCAAATGGGATAGTAAGTCATACGCAATAGGTAGTCGTCGGTGATCAGACTCGCAGAGAAACACTCAAAATCCACCCGATGCTTGAGGCGAATGAAAGACTCAGATTGCCTTACTATCAACCTAGCTGGGCAACAGCTGGCCCAGAATCCAGCCACACCATCGCACATGCCATCTGAAAACCGGAACAGCAAACCCAATCATCCCCAAATACCTGACGCCGAAAAGCCTCGACCCATTTTACAAAGTTCAATGGCATCAAAACGCCCCCAGACGCCCTTGACTCCCCCCACCAACCCTTCGATGATAACTCCTCAAGCCTATCTACGTCCCCCACGCACTCGTATCCTCTGCATTCGGATAAAAAAACGCCACCACGCTGATGATAACGTAAGTCGCCAGCAGCAGAGCCCCCTCAAGGTAATTACTCCTCCCATCCAAGACCAAAAAGTTAGTGATAAACGCCGAGACAAACAAGCAAACGGTCTCAAAGAGCGTAAAATACAACGTCATGGGTTTGTCCATGATCCAGCCGATAATCACAATCAGCGGCGTGATGAAGAGGGCGATCTGAATCGAGCTGCCCACGGCCACGCCGATGGCCAAGTCCATCTTGTTCTTCATGGCAACGGTGATAGCAGTGACGTGCTCGGCTGCGTTGCCAACGATGGGCAGAATGATGAGACCAATGAAGATTTCGCCGATGCTGCTGGTCTTGACAAGACCGTTGATTGAGTCGACCATGAACTCGGCACAAACAGCTACAAGAGCGGTCGATACGAGCAGCAAGATGACTGCGCTCCGACGGGAGAGCTCTTCAACATTTTCCTCGGCATCAGCCACAGCGCCGTTCGGGACGGCGGCCAGAGGAATCTGAGAGGGCATCATCGCGCCGGGAGGGCGGCCGAACTGGTTTAGGCGGTCGGGCAGCGAGTTCGTACGACGAATTCCATAACGAACACGAGGCACTGGACCAGAGGGTACGGCCGGCATCGAGAAATCAGTGGGACTGGTAAATACTGTGGGCGCAAGGCTGCGAGCGACAGGTCGCAGTGTCCCACGAAGTCCCTGGAACGGACTGCTTCGGGTCTGAACGACTTCACTCATGCCCTCAACATTCGGGGTCAATTGTGACATGGCGAAATCGACTCTCCGAGGCTCGCCAGGTGAGAGGGGAGCCTTAATCCCAACAGCTGCTTCCTCGTCAATGGGTTGGTCCATGAATTCTTGGGAGCCGTTTCTCCGTGACTTGCGGTGCTTGTGATGTTTGCGATGCTTCTTGTGTCTCCGGTAACGATCACGCTTCCTGTGACGAGGTGGCTTTTCATCTTCAATGGCATCCTCGTGCGCCTCAAAGACCCCGGTTCCAGGCTTGGAAATACGGTTCCTTGCGGTCTCTTCAGAAGGCTGTCCCTCGCTCGTAGTACCGAAAGAGGGACTTCTAGTAGGGGTTCGCGTGCGAGTAGTGCTGTGGCCTTCACTCGTGTCGACTGAAATGATGCTGGACTTGCGATGGCGCTTGATAGCTCGTCTCATTCTCTTGCCAACAGTTTCTCGTGATGAATCAGAGTCGGAAGAATCTGAGTCACTCGACGAGCTGCTCTCTGAACTTGACGAGTCCAGCCAGTTGGCGACCGGTCCAGGTGTTGCCTCCTCATCAATGATGTGCTGTGGTGTCGACTCGTACATGTATGAATGTGACAGAAGCTGAAAGAGGAGATATATGATATACACCAACAGAAGAATCTACGATGATTAGTCTCGATCGCGACCAAATCCCGAACGGCTCTACTTACCACACTAGTACCACGGCTGATCTTGAGAGATTGGGCATCTGCTAGGTTCGAGTCGTTAAACGAAGCATGGAATGCAGTCTGTACACAATCAGTATGTGTCCACAAACCTCTCTGGCAATTCCACACTTACTGGCAACACCAAGCTGATCACACTCAAACTCAATAGACAAGCACTCATCTGGGTGACGGTGCTGTTGTAGATCTGTTCCCGGAACCGAAGACCGCCAAGGAAGAACGACATGCCCAGAATCAGTAACAAGTTGGCCAAGATAGACCCAAGAAGAGAGGCCTGAACGATACGGAATTCATCCTGTTTTTGGTTAGAAATGTACTAAACCGGCTGCACGGTAATACGTACCTTGACCAAAGCAATGCTGTTCAACGATGAAGGTGGTTAGCAATAACGTGAACACAGATTGAGGCAAAGTTCGGGAGGTTGGTGCCGCCAGGCTTGCATCACTAAACAGGGGTTAAGGTACATACATGCTGTGCATCGTGTTAGTGAACCGTTTGATAACTAGCTGACAGGCACGCCAAGACATGTATGACTTACAAGATGATCAGCTCTACCGCATTACCAAAAGTAATGTTCAGCAATGCGCCAAGGGAGTCGCCGAGCTTGCGCGCTACGGCTTCGGTAGCAAAGCTCAAGAGACCAGCAAGAGGTATGATGGCGACGGCATTCATGCCAAAAATGATGCCCGGAGAAATGCCCGGGACTTGCTCGACGGCGATGCCGATGGGGACAAAAACCAGCAAAAGGTTCAGTTTGGAATGGAACAACACAAATTTGATAGTGCGCAGTATCCTACTGGGGATGCTGTCCTTGATTCCAGTTTCCCGCTGTGGTTGAGAGTCTTCGTGTGGGTGTTTCCCATCACCCGCTTCGCCTAGGACAGGCCCCGGCTTCTCGGGCTGCAATGATGTACCGGGCATGGGCGTGCCGCAACAACCATCTTCTGTCGTGTCGGCACCACCAGGGACCGGCGGCGTTGGCATGGTGCCGCCGGGGCTGGCAGACATGGCTGATGCTCCATGCTGGCTGTTGGACTGTGTGGGCTCCAGGGTGGATGGATTACTGATGGGAATCTGGTTTGAATTGATCTGTTTGGAAGGGTGATTCGCGGGTTTGCTTCTTATCCACGAGTTAGTTCTATCCGTGTGCTGAGATTTATCAGAGGTGGGTTCCTTCATCGAGGAAGGTGGGTGTTGATGAAGAATGATACGAAGTACCGAGGTATCTTTTAAGTTCGACGGATCGATTAGGAAGATGGAAGTGGCAGGGAAATGGCTGTGAGCCTTGATGGGGAAACGTGTTGAAGTACGCAAGTAATAGCAGAAAGGAGAGAGTGGCATGTGGCGGGCCACGTCCTGCAAAAACGTTGGAGGGGGGACAATGGGGGTCCAGTTGGGATGGCCCTGCCAAAAGCACGGGTGATCGGCAAGCCTGCCACTCCCGCTTTGGCCTTAGCTCAAGCTCCCCAGAAAAACAAGCTTCAGGCCCACCCTCCTACGTCATCTCGCTCTTTATTTTGTAGCGACCTCTAGAACCTCGTACCTCTCGAGAGAATGTCTCATTGTAAACAGCAATCTACGAGGAAACAAAGGCCCTGGGAACCCGCCTAGTGGATTTCAACACTTCAAAATATGCAAAAATGAACAAAAAAACAAAGTCGATAAAATCAGCCCGAAGCATCACAAGGTGGGTTTCCTGTACGCCAGTCATCTGAACACACGCAATACGTATACAAGCGGCAACACCAATGTTGGCAGGGCAGCTGACAGAGTGCAGTTGAGAGAGTGGGAAGGTAGCTAACAGTAATGAGACGACACACGTCAATGCAACTTGTCTATGTGATGCTTTCTGCAAAACAAATAAGTTTATAAACTAAATCTGTGTACAAAAATAAAGCCACTTCGGCAGTTGGAGCGGCGCCAAGAAGGCCAAGCAGGAACCAGAAAGCTTGACCGCACCGCTCTCGACCTCCGAAATCTTCTGAGGCCAGCAACATCTCGATGAGATGAGGTGCTGAGCGTCAACCTCCCGCCATGACATAAGCTAGCGAAACATGGGGTGATGTCATTCTCACTCCCATCTTATTCAGAGCGTGAACTCGGAATTGCGCTCTGTATTTCTGAATAAACAACATCTACAACCACGTGGCTTCTTTCTCTGCTTTTGCTTATTCATTTGGCCTGGCCACCTCCCATCTTTGACGAATTTCACCAGCTTCGCAAATGTCCACTCGGCGGCGACCATAAAACCGAAACGAGCCAACTAGGTTCTTCCATTTGCTATCCATTGGCGACCAGAAATCCCCAAGCTGGTACCATCTGGTTATCTTGACGGTGCAGCTCTCGCTGAGAATAGATCCTTCTGATGACTGTATGGGGTCGGAATCATCCGCATATGTGATCTCCACCTGGAAATCAGTGAAGCAGATGGGACACGATGTGGTATTGCGATCAGCACCTGAAAATGGCGGGAATGGGATAATCCAGACGCTTTCCAATAACGGTCGATCGGGTCGAGTACTCGCATATGAGATGGCACGGACGAATATCATATCTGCTCTCCATCACACGCATGAAAAGCCTCATTTCTCTTTCGTTCCCATACTTCGTCGATTGCGTGAAAATGCTTGTACCCTTTACGTAAAGCTCATCGTTGATGATCTTTGCTTCCCAGGCCTGGGTTTCTTCGATCCTGTGTGGTCTGTGCAGCACTCCCGACACATTGGCTACCTCGAGGTTCAAGACCTTCACATCCGGCACATGCGACTTGCCATAGAAGTGACGATTCATAACGAGCCGATTCAAGTTGGAATTCAGATTATATCCAACCAGAGACCATAAACCAAAGGTCGTCAAAGAAACCTGACCGAACGGTGACATATATCTGATATCAGGCCGGTTGGAAATTGGGCAATAGTAAGGAGTCTTCCAGTCATACCCCCATCGGTGGGGCCTCATGCAGACAAAGCACAGCTAGAGGGGAGGACAATCTTGTTCAATCCGTCCTAGAAGCGTAATTCTAGCTTCGCCGGTCAAAAGCTCTGCGGGTGACTGTGGGAGGTAACTGCAATAAAAATACTGGCAGGTCAAGACGAATGAGACGACGGATTCAGGAGGGAGATTCTCTAGAATCATGTAGATGAGTTCTGCGGGTAGTTCAAAACCGGGCGGAGACACCAGGGTTTGCCCTCTCCATAGGCGTGACGGAAGAAGTCGTCGAAAGGAAGTGGCCGGGGCCATGATGAATCCAAGCTACCACTGCAGGTGGGTGAAGAGAATGTCCAGAGAGTGAATGTGGTGCAAAAAACTGTTCATAGGGGCCAAGGCGTTATCAGTGCAAATAGGATGGCCCTAAAGAAGCCACAAAGCCCTTGTTTCTATCAAAGTTTCACTGAGCAAATGCTTATTTCGAGATCACGCGGAGTGCTGCCAGCTGCCATCTCCTCGAGGGCGAAATTCCCAAGCTGACGATGCAGGTATGCACAAGTTGGTGGTGATAGCCCCAAGAACGATGCCTCATCCAACAAGACGAAAGATTGCGGTCTAATCTATTCTAGATATTGTTTTCTGCCGTAACCTAATAAGAATGAGCATCTAACCTTTTCCTGGGCCTTCAAGTACCACTTCGATATGTTCCAACATAAGGTATACACATCTCAGATTTTAAGGCACGTGCCAAAAGATATTAAAGACACCTTTAGCATTCTTGTTAATACCTCATCGAAACCGATAGAGACCCATCTAGAGATTTCATGGACGCATCTCCAAATATCTGTTTGCGGTTTGTTCTCTAGAAACGGCCATGATCTGTCATGGCAATAGACACGGACGACCTGAGAATCCAGATTCTACGCCAGAACACCTTGACTTCACTTCGGTGTCCCGATCTCTAGCATGCACATAAATGAATCGTCGTAAGTATATATGCTTAACCATAGGTAGAGAAGATTTCTTGTACACGCTCTAAAATGTGGTATCCATCCCCTCTCCATCCATCTACCCACATAACCCCCTCTACTCCCCCTTCTTCTCCCTTTCCTCCCCCGTAACCCCCCCAACAGCAGAATTACTCCCCCCCACCACCACATTCCTCAAATTCCCAAAGCTCAACACCTCACTAATCCTCCCCGTCCCCGCCATCAACATGACCAACCTCTCCACTCCACACCCCCAACCCCCTGTCGGCGGCAGCCCGCTCGCCAGCGCATAGCAAAAACTCTCATCCACCTCCACCTTCTGCCCCTCCTCCACATCCTTCTGCCTGATCTGCTCCGCAAACTTCTCCCTCTGGGCAAACGGATCGTTCTCCTCCTCGTACATGTTCGCCAGCTCCTTCCCCTTGACAAACAGCTCTGTCCTTGCCGAGACGTGCTGGTTCGTCTTGGGGCAGAGGAAGGATTTGGAAAGGGGGGACATGACGACGGGGTGGTGGGTGATGAACAAGGGGGTGGTGAGGGACAGGGGTTCAATGTACCGCTCGGCCAGCTTGTCGAGGAGTTTGGGGAGGGGGAAGTGGTCTTGGCCCTCAAAAGGGGGGACCGAGTTTGAGTTGAGAAGCGACAAAAGGTCCGAGTGGGCGGAGGGGGTGGTCAAGTCGGGGAAGGTGAACCCCAACTTGTCTTGGAGGGTGGGGATGAATTCTGCTTGTTGAAAGGGTTGTTGGTAGATGGACAGATCGGAGATTTCGGGGAGTGAGGACAAGGTGCCGTTGGAGATGAGCTTAGCGCAGTGCTCGGCAACGCCGCGGATGAGATCTTGGGTGATGGTGATGAGGTCCTGGAGGTTTGCGTAGGCGTGGTAGAACTCGCAGATGGTGAACTCTGGGTTGTGGGTTTGGTCGATGCCCTCGTTGCGGAACGCCGGGCCGAGCTCAAACACGCGGTCTACACCTCCGACGACGAGACGCTTGAGCCACAGCTCAGGGGCAATGCGGAGAGTGACATCCTTGCTCACTGCTTCAGCATGCATGGTGAATGGCCTGGCCACGGCACCGCCAGCATTGCCAGAGAGGATGGGAGTCTGAAACTCAAGGAAGTTGCGCTCATGAAAGAAGTCTCGGAGATAGCGAGTGATGTAGGACCGCAGACGAAGGGTATCTACGGTTCGACGGTTGGCCAGCATGTCAATATGACGATGCAGGGTATCTTCAACCTTCTCCGGCCGGGGCACCAAGCTCGGCGTCAAAACTTCAGGAAGCTGGGTGGCTTGGATGGAGAGCTCGCCTGTCTTGGTTCGCGTGGCCTTGCCCGTGACAGCTATTCAATGGCAACACAACAGGCGTCAGCATGCATGGCCACGCTTTCTACCCAAGATGGATATACACAGTTCACGAAGATGGGACGCACAAATGATATCACCCCTGTTCAGCAACCGGGCTAAATTCTTCAAACCAGAACCAGTCGTACCATCGACCAGCTTCCCCAGGTTACATAGTCCTTGAACATTCTCAAACTCGCTCCTCACATCAATAAAGACGAGCTTCGACCCGGCACGACGGACAGACTCGACCCGTCCTCGCAAGGTGACCTCCTCTTCCGCCACAACGCCCTGCTGAATGTCCTGATACTTGGCCCGGAAGTCGGGGACGCGCATAATCTCACCACCATCATTTCGGATACGGGGATACTTGAGGACACCAGCCTGCTCCAGTTCCTGCTGCCGAGCAAGGTGGAAGGAGCAACGCTGCGACAGCTGAGCGCGGCGGAGGTGCGGGAACGCCGCCGCGTGAGGGACTGGTACCCGGGCGTACGGCCGCAGGAACTGGAGACTCGGTGATGGTCTCATCGCATCATTTCTATTGAGTGTCTGTCAGCTGTTGTCCTGACAAGAAAATCCAGACAGAAGACAGGTAACAGTGGAAGAATGTCAGAAAATTGGCATTTGTGATCAACCACGCCGAAGCGTGTCAGTCGCAACGGTTCTAAGGTTTATGCAGGTTCATCATATTGCTATAAAATCCAAGGGGCAGAAAAAATCCATACTTACAATTTACCTGTTTCACACCAACAAACCGGGAACTCTGCTTGTTCCCAACGACGCTAATGTTGTTGTCCAAAAGCAAAAGGAAAAGACCGCTTCCTCAAAAATATTTTTTGGAGCTCCCATGGTTTTAACACATGCCGCACCCCTCCACCAGAGCTGAGCTCTAACCAATCACCTCTCTCTCTGATAGGAACCCTCCACGCTTATCTAAAGAACCAACTCTTGGCATGACGAAGTGTTGGAACCCGCAAGCCAGCCAGCAGCCGCATCGGTTTTTTTGTTTGCCAGAAACCAACATCCATGCAAGCCTCTTGAACCCTCCTCTTTTGACATTCCCATATCGCGATACCATCAACCGACCCCTTCTCCTTCTTAACCCCATAACAACCAACCCCCAAATACCACCCAAAATGTTCGGATTCGGCCAACCCAAGCTCTCCTCCGAGGAGAAGATCGCCGCCGTCGAGAACGAGATCAAGGTCATGACCGAGATGCAGACCCGGTATTTACCAGCCCCCCCTAGTATTTCCCCATCCCCCCCTTTTACTGACCATGTTTCTGCATATAGCATGGCCAAGATCTGCTCCCAAAAGTGCCTCGACTCTACATACCGGGAAGGCGAGCTCTCCAAGGGCGAGGCCTCGTGCCTCGACCGGTGCAGCGCCAAGTTCTTCGAGGCGCACACCACCATCTCGGAGCAACTCCAAAAGGAGCAGGCCGCCAAGGGTGGCATGATGGGGCGGTAAATAGTAGGAGAAGGAAAAGGGAGCTTGTAAGAGTAGGAGGTCGTCGACAGCATAAAAATATTTGGCGAGGGGGATTAGAGCTTATGGGAATGGGATACCACTTATGAATGCCGTTTCAATGAGGAGAGCAGGATTTTCGTAAACGTGGGAGTGTACATTATGACCGAATGGATGGATTACTAGGGGTTGGTTGGGTCCGGCGTGTCCAGATTATAGAGGGGTTCTTGCGCTGTTGCTTTTCAATAATGACATCGCTTCTCTGTCTGTTTGGTTTCCGTTAAGGTTTCCTCTGATGAATTTCAATGGATGCTAGGTATGCTATCGAGGGTTCAAACCTCTCCCCATAAACGCCGTTTCAGTGGCTCAATGCTGTGCTCCCAAACTCCTGGCTGCCTGTCCAAACAAGACATTTATACAAGTCATCCCAAAATTCAACACTCCCCAAATACCCTTGTCCCCATCACCTGGACCTTGCTCTAGTGATATTCGGCCCCGAACCAATACCCGTCAGCGTTCGAACAAGACAATGCGCCCAACTCTCCGTTTCTAATGCAGCCTTGAGCTCTTCCGCCCTGCGCTCAAGATCCTCGACCTGCGCTTCAAACTGCGCCACCCCATCCTCAACCTCATTCACCTTCCCGACCAGCGCGCTAATCTCATATTCGAGCTTGGCAACCAAGACCTCAACGTCCTTGACGGCTTCGGTCAGGCGTCCCCTCTCTTCTGCCACCAGCTCCCCACTGCTATGCCTTATTCGTGCGTAGGCCTCGCTGACGGCATGATAGAGAGCTTGAAGCTCCGCCTGCTGAGCGCCATACGTTGTATTCAAAATGTCAACCCCTGACAGTTTTCCTGTAACCCAATTGGCGAGGTCTTTCTGTATTTCTTGAAGCCGGTGGTATAAGGTGTAAGCCAGCTCCGCTTGAGACTGCAAAAATGCCGTCGTTGCTGGGTCCACGCCAGCGTCCGGTGGGGGCAGATCGGCCAGGCTGATGATCTCGTGCCAGCCAAGAACAGCCTCTTCAGCTTCGCTAAAAGACAAACGGCGGGGATAACGGGCGTCATTTAGTGGTCGTTGTAGAGCCTCAATGGTTGTGAAGCTGTGTCTTCGCTGAAGGAATGATAAAGGCAGATCTGAGCTCCCTTGAGCACCGAGAAATTGCTGGGGCTGAGCGTCCAAATCACCTGCCTCTGAAGCCGCGGCCGAAAATGTATTCTCTAGTACATCTTTGCGTATCTCGGCTAGCGCTTCTTTTTCCTCTGCTGCTCTGAGCAGTTCTTGGGATGATGTCGACTCAGCCCTGACACCTGTAGGATGCGTCTCACTCCCTTCTGCACTGCCGTTCAAACCAGATGGCCCTGTTTCGCCAAAATCTCGTTCCTTTGGAGCCCCGTTCGCATACTCCTCCGGTTTGACCTTCCAGCTGAATGCTTTGCCAACTGCAACCGGGCTCGTCACCGCGGCAGACGAGTGAGCTAACGTCGCTATACTGGGGCTGGAATATCCACTGATGGCCGTGTCCGGGCTTTCGTCCTTGGAGGGCCTGCTGGCGTGGCCCCTCAAACCACCTCCAACAGCATCTCTGATTCGACCCAAACCTGATCGAGCATCGCTCACTTTTCCAGCAACACCCTTGAAAATTCCCTTTCGTAGAGCATCCCTGTCGCCGGGATTGTGACTTTCGGCTGTGATGGGGGCTGAGTTTGTAACAGGAGGTGGTGCGTATATGGCGGGGGAATCTTCCCTCTTCTTGGCCTCTAGCTCATCCTCCACTGGTGCAGACTGAGTTCTTCTGCTTCCAGACTGAGGTACAATAGTTTCCTCTCGTAATTCTTTGCCAAATGCAGAGCCCGGAGCAGTCTCTTGCTGTGTTCTCCTTGGCTTTCCATGCCAAAGCCATTTTGGTCTTTCACCGTAGGCCAAGTTGATGAATTTTCCCAAGTCGACCGTCTCGATATCACCAATATTGGCTTTATCTTTGCCTCCCACCATGCCAATGACAAGCTCGCCGCGTTTGCCACCAATTTCAGCGACCGTAGATTTGACCGCCCTGTGAACACCCCAACCACCATCTCCCGCGGCTGCCTTGGCTGTGGCACTGTGCAGCTTGAGCAACGTCTGGCGGTCTAGACGTCTTGTCCTCTCTATCTTGACAGATTTTTGAAAGGTCCCAATGCCCTTTTTGGTGCTTTCAAGGTCAAAAACATCCTTGGCCACTGGTGCGCCAGAGTAACTGAGCCGATTCCTCGCTCCCATCAGTGTGCCGAGCATCGCTGCCACTGTTGTAGGACCCAAAATGCCGTCTGTCGGTTCGGTATTGAAGTACTCGGAGCCAATCTCGGTCCACCAATTGTTGATTGCGGTCTCCGTCACGTCACAGAGTAGCCCATCCACGTATTCCGCATCCAGCATGCCAAAGATGTGAAGTGCCATCTGGCACATCCTAACCAGCTCCAGAACGGCCTGAGCAAAAGGTATCTTCTCGTTCGTTTTGTATAGTTGCAGAAATTTGGCCTGCGTAGCGGGTGTTGGATCTGTGAGGGTGAGTCCTGATCTCCCTGAGCACCCTAGCCGCTTGAGATTCTCGTTCACAATGAACACTTGGCGATGCTTCTGAATGTCTCCGTCGGGCACCGCAATCACAGTAAGGGCGGAAGGAAAGCTACTGAGGTTGGTGACCATGAGCTCTCCAATGTCTGTTTCCTTTGGCCGGGCATGGTAGTGTTGGATAGCGCTAAAGTATAAGCGTAATCTCGGCGACCAATCCTTCTCTTCTCCTGGTATCTCCAGAACCCCCACGACGACCGAGTGCTTTGGATCAGCTGTGTAGGTCGCAATGACGAGGGCGGGCGATTGGCGCGAGCAAGCCCATTGTTCGACGAGGTATAGTTCGTAACCAGGGAGGACATATTTGCGCGTAATAACTGTCACTGTTGGATCGCCTTCGAGAAATCTACAGGCGCAAGCAGAAGCAACACATCAGCAAGCAAGATCGTTAACAAGTGGTGGTTTGTGGAGCTCACTTGAAAGCTATAGGGTCCGGAAGCACGACTCGTCGGCGATTTGATGCAGGTGGAAGCGCAAGGGCAGCCTCCACTTTGGCGGCTGCGGCACCGTCTGGTGTCTCTGGCACCGCGGGCCTGGCATTCTTGTTTGAAGCTGTTCTCGCCAGCGTGATATCTTCTTCGCGATGTGCCCTGCCGTCGAGTGAGGCGGCAGGAGGAAAGGGTATTCGGATAGACATGGCGTGATACGGCGGTACGGCCGTTTTAAGATCAGGACCTAGGCGGTTTGTCACAGCTGGCACAACCGCCAATATCCATGTCAAACATGGAACCAGCACAAGCTACAAGAGCTCCATCGTGGGGCCGCCTGGGGCGGTGAGGCGTTCCTCCACCCCGGAGTTTGGTGGAGAGCTTCGGTATCCGTATGCAAGCAGCCGATCGTTTGGTGAGAATGGGGCTGGCGTTTTGGTGTCGTTCAGTCAGGATAGGGGCGAAGTGGAATCGATTGCGTGTTGAGGGACTTGCAATGCTTCGAGCGAGACCTCCTGGCTGTAGAGTTGGTGATACCTTCTCTTCTCCGTCGTTGGCATGTGATATCCGTAGAAACGAGGCAACCAAACTTGCAGCTGAGACCAGCTGAGACCTTGCTGCTTGCAGTGTTCCAGCTTTTGAATGCTGTTCCCGAGAGGCCATGAAGGGAAGTTCCAGGTTGCCAAACACACCCCACCACGCCCACCAACTGCACTCCCCTGCCTCGCTGTGGACAAAATAACTGGCACTGCAAAAGCACTGAACCGCCTGTGCCTCAAAGGATATTTGATAGGTCTTAAGAATTGTTAATAGGCCTTAAAATCTAGTTTATAGACCTTAAGAAATAGCTAAAAGGACTATTTTGTATTTTAAAAGGTGTAAATGGATAGTCATTGTGCATATTGCTGACTTGCAGTGCCAGTTATATTGTCCACATAATGCCTGCCACTTCAGGTAGTTCCTGGCCACCACATAGCGCTCGGACCAGCACCGCCAGCGGGGTGGACGTCACCTGGGCGGGCAGCCCAATCCACAGCTCACGCCACTGCAGCTGCATAGAGCGGGAAGGCGTTCAATGATTACAGATATTACGATTGATCTGGGTTATTTTATCCCGAACATCCACCGCCAGAAAGTCAACGATACACATTTCAACCGCCTCTAGTACACCTTACAGTGCCTCAATCCTTTATCAATTTGAACAAGGGTCATAGTCTCCAGGTGACGCCGTATCGCTAACCGGACTTGCGCTCTCGTCATTCCCACGCGAATCAAGCAGTCAGGCTTGCAATTGTAGTTGACAGAACCAGACACAAGCCATTCGCGGCGGCGGACGACCATGGCGTCTGAGAAGCCCAAGCTGGAGGCGCTCGAAGAAGAATATGCAAAGATCAACAAACTCCCTAGACTCACGAAAGCGGTGGAGCATGTCGACAAGATCATCGAGTTGCTCAGTGCTGCTCGTGAGCAGGTAGCTTCAGGTAAGCCGAGGTTCACGCTGGCAATGAGATACGGACGAGGTAGGTATATATGCTCAGGTACTGAACAAGCACACCTCTAGCTCCCGAATCCCATACAGCCATCACCATCACAAAACTTCAGAATCCCGTGAAGAGCGCATTCGAGGCAGTAAACGATGGGCTTAAAGGGGCAGCTGCCGCCAATAAGAAGATGGGAAAGGCTCTGGATAAGTCCTTTCCTCTGAAGCCTCTCCCAACAGACCACGATGCCATGGCAGACCACGTGTCTCTGATAAACAGGGCAATCGCCATGCACTTGCTTAGAGAAGGCCAGTTTAAAGTGGCGTCGACATTCATCGATGAGGTTCAGTCAACGACGAAGCGAGAGAATCCGGAATATTTAGACGAGCGTATGGACGACGGCAACTACGACGAAGCTGCGTCGACAACGTCGAGCGAGGCCTACGACCTTTCATCCCTCCACTCACAAGAGCTTCAAGAGAGCTTTGCAGGGATGTACTACATTTTACAAGAGCTAAAAGCTAGGAACCTGATGCCTGCTATTACGTGGGCGAGGAAAAACTCGGTCGAGCTGGAGGCACGAGGGAGCAATCTTGAGTTTGAACTAAGCAGGCTGCAGTTTGTTTGGCTGTTCAAAGGACCTTCCGTCAACGGACTACCCGATGACGAGAACAATGGCCAGCGGGGTGCTCTCCAGTATGCTCGGTCAAACTTTGGCCGTTTCCAAGCACGCCATCTCAACGAGATCAACCAGCTGGCATGCTCCATGGCATTTGCGCCCAACATCGCCGAGTCCCCGTACAGACAACTGTTTGCGATTGATACTGCCTTCAGTGATGTTGCTTCCTCATTTACCCGCGAGTTCTGCAGTCTGTTGGGCCTCTCGGCCGAGTCGCCACTCTACCTAGCCGCCACCGCAGGCGCGTTGGCTCTCCCACAGCTGATGAAGTACACGCAAAAGACTCTCGCCAAGGGTACAGAATGGACAACCTCCAACGAGATGGCCTTTGAGACACCGCTTCCCGAGAGTATGCTCTACCACAGTATTTTTGTCTGTCCAGTCTCGAAGGAACAAACGACAGACGCCAACCCACCCATGATGATACCCTGCGGACACGTTTTGGCCAAGGAGACGCTTCAGAAGCTGTGTAAGGGGGCCAGGTTCAAGTGTCCATACTGTCCGTCGGAAGGTATACTGAAGGACGCGCGGCAAATCATTCTCTAGGGCGATGGTGTAGTCAGGACAGCGATGATTGTTTTCATAGCGACAATGAATGTTTTTACAAAAACAAGTTCATGTTAATGTTTGTCGACAGTAGCACCCTCACCACAAAACAAATGGTAGACGAAAGTAGCTTAACCCATATTGTACTAAGAAACATGCCTTGAAGGATAATCATCAGGCCTTCGAGGATAGTTAATAGGCCTTTGAAGATATTCAAAAGGCCTATTGATTTACGTTTGAGGCACGGTTTATAGTATAATATCGGTTAACTTACTTCTATGCCGATTATTTGTAGTAGTTGAAAAAAGTGTCTACAAGTCATTGTCAACCTGGAAAGAATTTATTGAAAAAAGCAAAAGAGTTGGGATCTGCCTCCGGTCTCGAACCCAGGCGTTGTGACCTTAATCTCTGTTAGGTGGGTATGGCTGCAGTTGGTATTTCAGGCATCCCCTCATACCACTGGGCCATTCCACCCCTCCCCAGGCGTCCCCAGATGGAAACTCTTCTCGAACTCGACCTTTATAACCCTCGGAGAGAAGAGCGAGCTAGGGAGGAGCAAAGGGCAGGAGGGTTAGGGAAGGAGATGCGGGAAGGGGCGAGAGGAAGGGGCGAGATGGAAGAAGCAAGAGGGAAGGAGCAAAAGAGCAGGGAAGGCACGAGGGAGCAGAGTAACTTAATTCCTGATGCCAGACCCAGCAATTCCCATCTATCATGTCTCATAACTAAATATAGAACAAATCCCATCTCTAACCATGAACAAGAAATCAAAACCGTGTATGACCTGGCCCTAATATGTATGCTTAGAAACAACCCACAACGCCCTCAACAGCGCCACCGCACCGCCCTGCGTCTCGACCGTCCTCCCCCGTCCACGGGTATTCGGATCATTGTTCCACAGCTCCTTCGACGGACCTGACGTCCGGTGCTCTCTCTTCTTCATGTCCTCCTTGCCCATCTGCATATAAACCGCCTTTTGCCTCTCCATTGACACACCAGCAACAGCAGGTAGCCCCTCCTTCTCAGCCTCAACCGGCAACGTGATATTGGGGTTCGTCATCATCCAAACCTCATTGTGGGGTACCCCACGATTCCGATAATCATCCTCCCCGTGGTCCGGCGGTAGGACGTGAAGTTTCTCAAAATCATCCCAGCTCATCTTCAGCCCCTGCTCCCATGGAAATAGCCCAATCGTCCACCACATCCCGAATTTCCCATGCTCGTCTCGTGTGCCTAGAGCAGCAACAGCATTATGTCTCAACCAGGGCACATACTTCTTGCACTCGGCAAAGTGCTTCGTCCTGATCCGTGCAAGGCCCTGTTGACTCATCCTAGACCCAGCACTAGGCATGATCTTGTCGAGAGAATTTGGCGAGCAAAATGTGGTAAAGTGATGCATCCAGATACCCTTGAAAGTCTGGGCGTCTTGCGAGCAAGTTCCAAAAACATCACAGGCTTCCTCCAGCACACCCGCTCGACCAAGACCCTTCCAGCTTGGAAGCAAGTTGGCGTGATAATCATCCAGATTAGCCACAGGTCTGGCCCTCTCTAGATCCCAACCTGTAGCCCGAATCACGTCCTTGATGACCTTGTGTCCAGAATTGAGGTACTCCTCACTGCCAGTAGCAACAAACAACCCCAACTGACCCGACAAAATCACACCCTGGTTGTACGTATACACCATCTCGTCCCTCTCGTCACACTCGGTATTGTTGCTCCCCTCGCTGTACCCCGAAATGTGGAAACCATCCGCATACAAGCCCTGGTGGTTAATCATCCCAGACGACTCCAACCACTCATACCCCAGCTGCGCTGTCCTGAAAAACATGGGATCATGCGGAGGCCAGTCTCTCTTGCCCAAGTCCCTCTTATCAAGCCCAGGTCTCACCATCATCTCCTCCCACGGACTTGTATTCTCATCCCCCGGAAAATGGAGATACATTCCAATACTCGCCGCAATCCAAAGCTCGTTGGTGATGGCATTCTTGTACGGACTCAACCTCGGATTCCACAGCATCCCTCCCCCGCACAGCTTCTGATCCCACCCTTTGCTCGAAAGCTCCCAGAATATCCTCGCCCTGTGGGCAAACGCCGGCGTCCATCTCTCCCCATGCCACCTCCCGTCTCCCAGCTCGTCAATGAACTGTATCGTTTCCAACCAGCCCAGCACAACCCAGAGCATGTCGTCGAACGCCTCCCCGCGCAGGGAGAAGACGTCCTGCCCAAAATAAAAGGCAATCAGCTCGCCAAAATACCGGCCGATAAAGTTGGCCAGGGGGGGGATGACGATATTAGGCTGGGATCTGGCCAGCTCAAAGTCCTCGGTTATGGTCCGCAGAGCTCCCGCGATGTGGGTGCCCATCACGGCTCTAGTCCAGTCGATGGCGTCGGGCCAGGTGCCAATCCAGTTTTCGAAGTAATGGTTTTGCATGACGTTTATAGAGGCGCAGAGGTCAGCAAAGAGCTGGGTGTCAGGTCGGCCTGCCCCTTGTGTCGTCACTTGGGGGGACGTGGAGGAGAGGTTGATGAGGGGGTCAGGTTGGAGTTTGACGGTGGCTGCTGCGTTGGCAGCCGACGCCAGGGCGACGACTGCTGTTTGGAGAAGCCTCATGCCCGGCTTTGGTGTGTGATGTGTTGCTAGAACATGTGATTATGTGACCTCCACCGGTGGGTGTGAAAAGATGGCAATGTGTGTGACTCTGGAAGTAAAAATGAATGTCTCGTTCCCAGCCAGAGCCTCAAGCCTTCCAAGTATAACCACCACCACCGCAGCTAAGTTTCAGCCTCTCAACGCCAGTGGAGCTGAACGTTGAGAAGTAAATACCCAGGGACCCAAGGTGTAGGTAGAGCGCATCGAAATCGAAGAAAAAAACAATGTCCGTCAACGAAACTGTTCTTTTACCGGCTCTGTCCTGCAATCTGCATCATTTCCACCATCTATATCCCACTCCCACCATTCCAGGACCCAATCGTTTTCAACAACCCAAACCAGAAAACCAAATTGTGGGAGCTCCCGTCCGTCCCGTGAAGTCTAGTTTTTCGTCCAAAGTTGAATTGAATGTGTGTCAGGCACCTCGATGGATCCCCAAATGAAAGATCCCGCCTTGTTGATGCTCGGTTTGATCTCGTTTCCCAAGCCACAATGACCCCCAGATCCAAGTTGGCAAGATCTAGGCAATCGAGAACAATGGAGAAAGACGAACAATAATGAAAGAAAGATGAGAGCAGAAAAGTTTGATCACGAGTCCGAAACGAACGGGACACACACACACACACACGACACCACCACACCCCAACAGCCAAGTTCAATGACACTTGCCAAGATGGAAGGAAGGCCTCAGGAAGGTACCCAAGACACGGAATGTTGCACAGAGAACACAACAGGAAAGTACCCGTCAAAACACCACTTTGGAAGAAAACGCCACAAGAAACAATGCTCACCCAAGCCACTGGGACCTGCCATCCAACTTTGTCAAAAAGTCGATGGGGGCACAGTCACATAATGTGGTGAGGGGCAGCATGAGGGGGGAAGGAACTGGGGGACGGGAGGCCGCACTGATGGTGGGGCTGTTGCGCTTTGCGGGGAGGCGGGCAAAACAGGGCGGTGTCTTTTCGCGGGGTTAGCAGCATTGTAGTTACATCATATGCACTCAACCTTGTGTGGCCAACCTAGAAAGTGGCAGGTCTTGGGATCAGCAAGGGGTGTGGATCATGGGATTCAGGAGAAGTGTGGATGTGGTGGGACAGAGTATGGGGATGACTTACACGTATGCTGGTGGGTGGGCTGTTTGAATTGATAACGAAATGTAGAATTATTGTAAGAATCACAGAGGCAATGCTGCGAAGTGTGAGTGAGTTGTAGGATGAGTTCTCATGAACCCCAAGAGTTTCCATTGAACCAAAACTGTCGTGACCACCTGGCACTTAAACCCGTCGACCGACTATACGACCTATCCAAAACGCCAGGACCGAGGGCTGCATGTGCTCGCTCGCTCGCTCGCTCTCAAAACCCAATGACGCCGCCCAAGTCATAACCATGACCCATACTTTATCCCATCCGAGAAGATGTCCCTGTAGCCCGTTCAAGGTTTCCCAGACAACGCCCTCCGCCTATACCAATAATGTACAAAAAATACTGAATTAAACCATACCCAGTTGTAGGAGTTGAAACGAGGCCAGCAGTTTTTGTCATCTCATTCAGCAAAGCGACGCTCAAACTCACGCATGAGCTTGGGGGTGATCTCGTCGCTGCTCATTCCCGACACCTCCCACAGCACACCCTTGCGAGCGTAGTGTTCCAACAATGGCTCGCTCGTCTCCTCAAACTTCTTCCATCGTTGGCGGTAGACCTCCTCGCTGTCGTCTGCCCTGCGGACCAACGGCTCTCCAGTGACATCATCGACACCAGCAACCTTGGGTGGGTTGAAAGTAGTGTTGTAAACCCTGCCCGAAGCCTCATGCACCCATCTCCCAGAGATGCGCTCCATAATGACCGCCAGCGGCGTCTTCAGTGACACAACCATGTTAATGGGGATTGTCTCGTCGAGCCGTTCAGCCTGTGTCGCGGTACGAGGGAACCCATCGAGAAGAAACGAAGCCGAGGGATCTTCTGAAGGTGAGCCGTAACCACCACGAGCATGCGCTGGGTGCGAAATGAAGGCAGCCATATCGGCATCATTGCTGAAGGACTGCGTCTCGGCGGCACAGGAAGCGAGCGTCATGACGTTGCCGGCGGGGTGGCTCGAGTACAACCACCCGCGCTGGTTGAGCTCGTTATTGATCAACCGAAGGATAAGATCATCGGGAACCAAAAGTCCGGCCTTCATCGTACTCTCGACCTTGATGCCTGGTTTTGGTTAGTTAATTGACATCCTGAGCATTGTGCTTGAGGAAGAGTCATACCCAGAGGTGTCCGCTGCTTGACATTGTGCCTGAGAAGATCCCCAGAGGAGATGGATGACAGCTGAGGAAACCGCTGCAACAGCCGCTCAGACTGCGTCCCCTTTCCCACTCCCGGGGCGCCTACAAGGATAACTCGGGCAGCCTTTCGGAGGCGCATCATTCAAGGTTGACGGGAGTCGGGAACTGGGACAAGCGGCAGCGGGGGTTGCGAGCGAGCGATCGAGCGCGCGCGTGTTCGGGTGTGCGCACCGGGTGGGAGACAGGAGGGTGAGTTGAGCAGGAATAAAGAAATGGGCCGGGGCGCGGAGGGCCAGAGGGGCAAGGCCGGCTTCAAGTACTAATGCGACTACCCTATGCAAGCAGGCGCGCTCCGGATTCTGGCGTTGTTGCGGTCGGTTTGTCACACAAAGATCCGGCTGGTTCGGGGTGCGGGGAACAAGTCGATCGGCACGTAATCGAGACGCAACCGAGGACCGATAATGGAGACAACTCGGGTACAAAGTCACCGAAAGGGGCACACAAAAACGCTGTGAGGCCTCGATATCAACTTTCTTAGGCGACGGGGAAGACAAGCAGGAGGGGTGATGAGCTATAGGGTTTTACCAAGGCAAAACAGCTAAATCGGTGAGAGGTCTGCCAACTATGTCCAGAGACCTCCTGTCCCACGCCGGTCCGGAGTGATAACGGAGCCTGGAAACCTAAACCGATTGAACAAAGTCACTGTGGCGGCCACTGTCACACCGGACATTCACCCTGCCCAAGTTTCCGAAGCCCTGAACAGATCGGAGTCTGGAAAGGATTGGCGGTGGATTCTCATCCCATTGCCTGTTGCTCATCACGAATGGCTCACCAAAATGCCAGCAAGTTTTTTGTTGAGGCTTCGGCTGTGCCCCGATATCGCAGTTATCGGGGTCCTTGCCAAGTAGGTCTTGCTTCTAGAACCAAAGGTTTCATCTGATAAGATCTGATAAAGCTATGAAGAGGAAAAAACTGGACCGTATGCAAGGAAAGGGCATGATAAGAGACTCGATGAGACTTTGAAACACCTGAACTTTCTCGAAAGTTTTGGATGAAAATATGTGAGAATGTCCAGACCTGTGGTCAAAGTGCCATGACGGCATGTGAAGAGTTGTCCGAAACCTGCCTAGGGGGTGACGATTCTGCCCGAGAAAGCCCGATCAACTGATTTAGCACGTGCAAAGTTGGGTCTGATAAGAGTCTGTTGCCATTATGCTGTTGTAACTCTGTCATGGGAAGCATGTGGTGGGGAAGAAGTGCGTTGTGCTTATAAATAATGATTTGGACTCTCAGTGGCTCTCTGAAACAGCAATCTGCATCTTCCTTGATCATGAGAAAGATATGAGAGGATATGAGAGGATATGAGAGCATCCAGAGAAGTCAATAGGGAATCAATGCAGATATTCCCAAGAGCCAACGCAGACATGCCATGTTGTGTTGTGCTTTCCCCAGCCACACAGGATCCCCGGAAGCAGCCCAGCGCAACCTTACTCAGCCAAAACAGTCACGTGATGCGCTGCTCGTTCGCTGAATCGCCAAGAGGGCAGCCGAATGGGGAAAGGGCGACCGCGGGGCGTCGCTGGATTGGAGCCATGGCATTCAGTGGAAAGGGCCGGATTTTGATGTCACCGTGCCCCTTTGACAGCGGCGTCCTCGACCATCTCTTTCCAACAACACCATCCGCCCCAAACCAGCCCTCCAGCATCCACCATCCCTCATCTCGACGTCTTTCTTTTGCTTGAACCATTTCGTCTTCTCGTCTCTATCTGGACAGTCTGCGCTAACCCGGGAGGTCTCGCATTCAATCCGCTGGTTCCGAGCCCAACTGCCGGTTGCGTCTGAAAATCGAAATCTTCTGCTCAGCTGTGCAGTCCCGTGTCAATTCCCGCTGTTGGCGTTGACCCGTTGCCGTTGCACCACATCTTTACACTCACGTCAGCGCATCGGCGAAGTTTTATCTCCTCAATCGCGACCAGTATCCAAGTCTGTCGGCAGCATCACGATTTCGCCCCTAATCTTGGTGCACACCGACCTGCCGTTACCCCCTGAACGCTAGAACACCGCTGCCATGAGCGCCTCGACAAGAGTTGCGCGCCGGGCGCTGGTCGTCAACCCGTTCCAAGGCACCACCAGTACGTCCGCTATCCCTTGTGTGCCCCTATTCCAAGATGACAAGTTGCTGACGGCCCCTCATAAAGCTCATGCCCTCCCTAGATCCGCCCTCTTGGCCTCCTCGATGCTTCTGGCACGCAATGCGCAGAACTTGAGGTTTAACCGCCCTGCCACTGCTCTGCTTATCCCAGTTCGGGGGCTCACCACCTCGGGTACCACTACTCATGGCGGCCCGACGGGTGGCCCACCTCCAGGATTCGATGTCGAGAAGGCTAAAAAGCCTCTCCCGAAGGAGCCTTCCCCCAAGCCCAAGAGCAGTGAGGCTGCATCCAAGCCAGCGGAGAAAACCAGCACCCCCGAGGCCGCTGCTGATTCTTCTGCTACGCTCTCGCAGCTTGCCGCACAGAAGCCTGCTGCAGAGAAGGTTGAGGCCAAGAAGGAGGAGAAGAAGCTGACGATCGCACAGAAGATCAAGAAGGAGGCTCTGCATTACTGGGATGGCACGAAACTGCTGGCCGCTGAGGTCAAGATCAGCTCGCGCCTGGCTACAAAGATGGCTGCCGGCTACGAGTTGACGCGGAGAGAGCAACGCCAGCTTCAACGTACCGTCCAGGATCTCGGTCGGCTGGTTCCTTTCTCCATGTTCATCATTGTGCCTTTTGCCGAATTTCTCCTCCCCGTCGCGCTCAAGATCTTCCCCAACATGCTGCCCAGCACATATGAGGGGCAAAAGGACAAGGATAAGAAGGCGAACATCCTTCGGGCGACCCGTAAGGAGGTCAGCGAATTCCTCCGCCAGACCTTGAAAGAGACAGGCCTGCCCCTTAGTCAGGCGACGGCCCAGAAGGAAGAGTTTACCAACTTCTTCCGCAAGCTTCGCGCCACTGGCGAGACACCTACGGCCGATGATGTGATCAAGGTCTGCAAAGTCTTCAAGGATGATGTGACCCTTGACAACCTTTCCCGGCCGCAGTTGGTGTCCATGTGCCGGTATCTCAACCTCAACACCTTTGGCACCGACATGATGCTCCGGTATCAGCTTCGCCACCGCATGCGGCAAATCAAGCGCGACGATCGCGCCATTGCCTATGAGGGCGTCGACAGTCTTTCCGTGGCCGAACTTCAGATTGCCTGCGCCAGCCGTGGCATCAAGAGCTTTGGTGTCTCGCCTGCTAGGTTACGGGAAGACCTCCAGACTTGGCTGGATTTGCGACTTCGGGAGGGTGTCCCCTCTACTCTTCTGGTTCTGAGCAATGCTTATATGTATGGCCAGACCCAGCAGGACAGTAGTGATGGTGTCTCCAACCAGATTGAAGCACTTACCAATGTGCTTTCCTCCATTCCGGAGGAGCTTTTCCACGAGATTGAGCTCGAGGTCCACAATGCTGAGGGTGCTGCCACCAACAAGCAGCGTCTCGAGGTAATCAAGGAGCAGCAGGAGCTGATTAACGAGGAGCTGCAGCAAGACCAGGAGAACCAGGCGACAGGTTTCGCTACTCCCCGGGACATTGAAGACATTGACGAGAAGGAGGAGAGACAGGTCCAGGCGGAGGCTGAGGGCATCGAGAAGGCGCAGGTTGCCGAGGCTGTGGATGCCGAGAAGGATGGCCTGGATGCCGCCAAGGTCCTCCAGAAAACCGACTCTGCCGCCGCTGCTAAGCCTAGCGAGAAGCAGCAATAATCTGGAGATTTAGCACGATCATATTGGCTTCATCCCCCAAAGCCCTCCACAGGGCTTGTCCCTCGGTGTACAACAACACAGCGGAACACACATATACTTTACTCACACACGCCACGGTCTTTTTTTCTTTGGATTTATATTTCCCTCTTTTTAATTCTCTTTTCTTGTGTGTGTGGTGGTTTGTTTGACTAGACAAAACCGATAATCATCATCATTGCATTACATGTCAAGATAGAGGAAAGCGATGGGAAATTTTTGGGAAGAAACGGCTAAGGGGTAAAGGATAGGGGGATGGTAATGGCGGAACCACAAAGACTTGTGCTACTGTGTATCCATAGAAAACAACAGGCACCAGAAATTCATTATCAGCGGGTGGCACGATTCTTTCAACTACGACACTGTCATGGGAAGGCTCGGTTGGGAGGTTTTTGTTTATCACCGATTACAGGTGTCTGTCTCTCTTTTTCTGTTTCATTCAACCTCATAGATACTACTCTTCATCATTGACGCTGGAAGAAAATAGCGTTGTGTATACAAGATATGAAATCGTCTCCCTTGCGAAATCTCTCAGGCTCAATTGCTGTGCTCCAATTGCGGTCTCATCAACTATTTATCCAATGCATTCATCTGTATTATGTGGAAAGCATGCAAAGCTCAGGGGCCCAACCCGGAGACGGAGAATAATTCCTCTCTTCAAACTCCCGCCAAACGCCAACCAGACTTTTTTGTGGTCCGTCTGTTAAGGTAATAACCATGCTTCTAAACCTGTGACATCGATCATAGGAAAAGAAAAAACGATGTTATTTGGGGGTACCCGGCACTGCAGTTGAGCGGCGCAGCTGACGTTGCTGGAGGAGGCTTCCGAACCTCGAACGGGAAGCAATGCGAGCCTGCTGTAAAGGAGGCCAACGTCATGGAGAGTTGACAAATGGCTTATGTATGGCGACCTTGCTAAATGTCGAGATATTTTTGATTTTTTAACGTTTACATGATGTTGAGAGGGGGCCGTTTCAGATGTTCATGTTTGCTGAGGGGCATGTCTTTGCTGCTGACTATACAACTAACTAGGTAGGTAACAGGGCTGATTTTATGAGCCTCAAACGTTCGTTCGGGATTTGCCCATAGCAAAGCCTCATGTATCTTGCCGACGGGATCAAACATTCAGTTTAGACACCGAACTGGTTCGCATGTGCACAGTGCTCGGTATCGGGGGGCGGAATACGAGGACTATCATGGAGAGGCCGACTCTTGCATATCAAGAATGCTACAAAAGGGAGGGTCGGCAGTTTCAAAGCATCGGTTGATCTTTTACATATCCTGTCGTCATTGTTTCTCTGATTTGATAGATCGGTTGATGAGGTGCTGGAGAGAATGGCAGGTGGGAGAGCGGGAGTTGAAGATGGATGTGTGGCTTAGCATAAAAGAGCGGGTCCATCCGGGGGCGGTGGTTCCCCCCCAGCGATGCAAAATGCGCGGGAAGAGACCCTGGATCCACATGGTGGATATCAGTGACTTTGTCAAGGTTGAGGATTATCAAAGTTGTAGGTAATGTAAATGGAATTTTGGACGATGTTTAGATGTTTAAGAAGAGAGAAAAAATAGGAGACTTTTGGATTCATATTTGTTCCAAGTTGCAAGTCTTGTGAGACGGGAGAAAAGTAGAATTAGCTCAAGATTGTCTGAGTGTGCACTTCATCATCAGTCAAGCGAACGTAACGCAGGGCAGAATGGGCTTAAATGAGCCGACTGGGCTATAACCTGGGGAAAGCTACACTAAGCGACGATTGTGGTGGCCCTGTATCCCGTCTACATAGGAGAATAAAATCTAGAACGTTGAATGTGAAAAAGTGCCCTGCGGCTGTGGAAATGGTGGTGATTAATTGGTAGGACCTCGAACTTGAGTTTGCAGCCACAAGGGTTTGGTGAGACATGGCTCGCAGCCTTGTGGGCGCTCCAACGGGCCAACTTGCTGGGCCGGTTACGATGCTTGGAGATTGGCTTTTCCCGCCCTAGAACTATGATAGATAGGAAAAAGAGTGCCCATGATTACTGAGAGCTACTATCGAAGAAAAGACATCACCATCTCGATCAGTGACTTCTTTTGAAGTTGTGTCGAAAAGGCGAGATTCCAGCTGCACAGCCTCGGAGCAGATCAAAATCGAGCATTGGCGGGAGAGGCTGATGGCGAACTAGCCCCTGTTTGGCGAAAAGTCGTCTCCCCTGCCCCCCCGGTTAGTCACCTGCAAACCACAATCCTACTCGCAACAGAGCGACATTCCACGCCCTAGGTTCCCTCTTTTTCCATCAGTCGTTTGCATCTCTACAGTAATTTAATCATTCTTCTCCTCATCTTCACCTTCTTCCTGCGATACCTGTCTTGTTCTGGCGCCCGAGTCTGATTTTCGACAACCGCCGACAAGCAACGCGTCCGCTCGCTTCTCCTAACGACACCACCTCAGCACCCCCCGGCCGTTCCCGTTGGTTCTTGGCCTGCACTCCCTGAAGCATTGCCAACCCTCGAACACCTCAACTCCTCCCAGTGTTTCAGAGTGCTCTCTGTGGACACACAACTCGCAGCACAACACCCCCTGCCCCAACAGTCCCGTCTCCTGGGTGCTGCAACACTTCTTCAAATCGCCAAAAGATTCGCGCCTGTGAACAATAACCGCTCGCTGTTGTGAGTGTGCAGGTTCACCACCTTCGACGACCACCCCCGAGCCAGAGACCAGGCGTCTTCTGCCCGACTGACCACGACTTTTTCTTACCTTCCCCTCCCCCTCGACCGGCCGGCCCTTCAATCTCCCTCGACCCACCGACCATCGACGCCAAACCACAAGTCACAAAACTCAATTCAGCCATTAACCAGACATCTCGCAAAGCCGCCGTCCTGGCTTCCCAACGAGACATTCGCCGGTCGTATTTGGCCGGCTCGGGCTCGCAGCCGATCGCGATCGCAAGTTTTGACGGAACAAACAGCGGATTCAGAGACAGCCGCCCTCCAGTGATGGCTTCCACAGTCGGGCCAGCGCGGCCAAAACAAAAGCTCTTCTCGACGGACTTCCTCAGCAACACATGGGCGAAGCTCTTCTTTTTCATCGTCGGCCTACAGGCTGTAATTTGCGTGGCTTTTGAATGGTGTGTTTCGCCCTCCTGCTGCCAGCGACGAGACCCTTGATCCGATATGCTAACACTTCAACCGCAGTTATGTGTTTGCGAGATTCCAGTTCGGCCTTCAATTTCAAGAAGGCGAAATCCCAGATGAGGCACAACGACGAAGGCTACAATCGAGATACCGTACGATTCCGACTTTCTTGGCGCTCTTCATCTTCGGATTCCTCTACGTTTTGGTCTTGGCGTGGGACGCACTGCGGATGAAGAACACGATTCAGATTATTGGGCTGTGTGTGGCCAACCTGGCACTCTTTGTCTACACCATCCTCCAGATTGATCAGATTGAAAAGTCACTGGATATTCTGCAGGGTGCTTTACTCCTAAAGGACAGCGATAAAGGTGGTGATTCGAACATTGTCTGGGCGCTGTCCAAACCCTTCTTGATAGCCGTTCCAGCAATCGTGGGCGTGGTCACCGTCGCCATGTCCTGTATCGCCTATCAGCTATACCGCGAGTTCGCTTGGGACATTCTGAAGCAGATTGGTGCTGACTACCGCATGAAGAAGCGGTTCCTTCACTACCAGGTAGGTTCATGATCTCGTCTCACTAGTGACGATATGGATGTCGAATGCTGACGCGGACACATAGATTTACATCGCCCTCTTGAAGTTTGATTTCTTCTTCTTTTTGGGTTTCACTGTGCAGTTCTTGGTCGTTGTCAACAACACCAAGAATAACTTCGAGCTCGGCCTGCAAGTGGCGGCGGTTCCTATCACGATCGCCATCCTTCTATGCGCCGCCTTCTTTACGCAGCGCGAGAACAAGATTGGAGTGACGTTGACCATCGTCTTGTACTTCGGCGCGCTCTCTTACTTCTTCTTCAAGCTCGTCCGCATTTACCAGCCCGGTCATAAACAGGATTACGAAGCCGTCCAGAAGTCGCTGACAGCCTTTGCTGTCCTGACCATTCTCCTCATCATCTTGACCATCATCAACGGCTTCGTCTGCATGAGCAACTTTGGCGCCGGGCTCAAGGACCACCTTCTTAAGCCGAGATACTCCGACCCCGAGAAGGAAGACGCAAATTCGTACCAAATGAACGATCAGAAGCCACCACTGCCAAGTCGAATGACGATTGACTAAATGGCTTTTCTTCTTTGCCTTTTTTTTGTTACTTTTTGGTTTGGAGGGAGTTCAAATTTTGTTTTGTGTTTTAATTCTATAAAGGCCGATCGGAACGGTTGATCCATCTTTTTGTTGGAAATAGAGAGGAAGAAGAAGAGAGTTACACCGATCGGATCAAGCGAAGCGAGCATTTATTTTTCGTCTTTTATTTTTTTGCTTTTTGACGTTTTGTGTTGCTCTCTCGACAACCAGAGAGGGGAAGCAGAACTAACGACCATTTTATGAAATTGAGCAAGTGTTGTGAGGGAAGAGAAGGAGGAGGAGGAGAAAGGGGAGAATTGAAGGGGAGTCTTGTCTTACCTCGAATGATAGGCTGGTTCTGGAGAGAGAGAAGGAGCAAGACTTGTAACCATGCACACATGTCAACACAAAGATATCCCATTTTCATTTTTACATTGTTTAAACCATCATCATTATCTCCTTCTCTTTCTGTCTTGTGATTGCTGGATATATATGTGAGGTGGGTATGGAAGGGGTTCAACTTGTCATGGGGGATGAGGCTGGTCGGGGAATATGGCGTCTTTTTCTATTCTTGATTTTTTTTTGAGAGTATTTTGGGATAGCAACAAGAAAATAAATTTCAACAAGGAAAACATCTCAACAAGCATGACTGCTGCTTAGGATGTCTATACAAGGGCCCCAAAACCTTGATGGACTTTCAAGAGATATATATTGTACATTTAATTGTTATTTTCTCTCTTTATATTGCCTATTTACCATTCAGAAACCTCCCCTCTCGCTGGCTTCTCGACGCGCACGACTTTATCGCAATTGAGAAGGCAGAGGGGGTCGAATGCCGTCTTGATCTGTCGGGGTTGTCAGCATTTGATCTTGTTTTCAAATGGTAAAAAAGGATGAAAAATTACCTTTCTCATAGCATCAACTGTGCTCTCTCCCAGCTCATGAGGGAGGTAATCCCTCTTGACAAGCCCAACACCATGCTCGCCCTGTTGATTCAACCGCATTAGTTTTTTCCATCCCTCCAGAGTTCAACACAGAAAGCTATAAAAAATAAATAAATAAAAACTCACAGTCACAGTCCCCTCCATCTCCACAGCCCTCTTCACCATCCGATGAACACACTCCTCGGCCAACTTCCTCTCCGCATCCGAGTACAACAAGATAATATGGAAGTTCCCATCCCCGACATGTCCCACAATCGAGCTCTTCAACCCCGACCGTCCCAGATCCTGCTTCGTCTGGTCAATAATGTCCGGCAGCCTGCTCATCGGGACAGCCACGTCCCCCGTCCACACCCGGTCCCCGGGCTTCTTCACCGCCATGGTGCTCCAGAGCGCCTCCTTCCTCGCGCTCCAGAGCTCGACCCGTTCCTGCTCGTCCTTGGCAAAGTCAAACGACTTGCCGCCGCTGCCCTTGGTGATCTTTTGGACGATGGCCACCTGCTCTTTTACCCCCGAGGGGGTACCGGTGAATTTGAAGAAAATAGTGGGCGCCTCCTTCCAGCTTCTGGACGTAGCGCCAGCTTGGTTGATGAACCTCATCTGGTCGTCATCTAGAATCTCTACCGCAGCAACGGGGACACCCTCCCCTACCACCTTGGCGACACAGTTGGCCGCTTCTCTGATGGACCCAAACGATGCCACAGCGACGGATTCACTAGCAGGTTTAACCGTAACCTTGAGCGTCGCCTCCGTCACCAAACCCAGTGTGCCCTCACTACCGATAAACAGCCTCGTCAAATCATACCCCGCCGAACTCTTTCTTGGTCTCTGTCTCGTCTTGATGACTGTCCCGTCGGCCATGACAACCGTAAGACTCAAAACCCACTCCCTCATCGTCCCGTACCTGTACGCGTTTGTGCCCGAGCATCCAGTCCCAATCATCCCCCCAATCTGCGCCCCCGGCCCTGGATCAGGCGGGAAAAACAAATTTTGCTCCGCGAGCATCTCGTTCAGATCCTCCCACCCTACACCAGGCTGGACAACCACGTCCAAGTCATCCTTGTGCAACGAGAGCACCTTGTTCATCCTTGAGAAATCAATGCATATCCCTGATCTAGTCGGGGTATAATGCCCTTCCAGACTCGTCCCCCCAGAGTATCCCACCACGGGAATCCGTCTGTAATGGCACACCTTCATCAACTCGGACACCTCCTCGGTTGTGGCGGGGTAAACGACGCAAAAGGGCTTCTGGTCGTCGGCAGCGCGGTGGGTGGACCACTCCGAGGTGGCGTGCTGGGAGATGACGTCGTCCGCGGTCGAGACGTTTTCCTTGCCGACGATGGCGACAAAGTCGGACCAGGCGGCCTCGAGGTGGGCGGGGTTGAGGTTGTGCTTGGGGGGTTTGGTGGCTGCCAGGGGGAGGGTGGAGGCCGGGTCGGCTTCTTTGGGGTATTTGAGGCCGCACCAGTAGGAGATTGCGCCGACGGTGAAGAGGACTGTGGGTAGGAAGGGAGGGTAAGTTATGATGGTAGGGATATAGGGGGTAAAAGGGGGCAAGTACCAAAGGTCATGCCCATCATCCTGCCCAGGCTGTTTTGGGGGCGCATGTGGGAGAGGCGTTTGAGATCATCTCTTTCGCGCTGGATGCGCTTGGTGATGGACTGTGTGAGTTGGCCCTTGAAGGAGGGGCCGCTGGAGGGTTTCTTGGTGGTGGTGGAGGAGGAAGTAGAGGAGGGAGGGGGGCTGAAGCGCTGTGTTGACTCGAGGCGGCGGAATTGTAACGGTGTGCTGGTGGTTCTGCTGGGGCGCATAGAGGGGAAGGAGGATGGCCGGGCTCCGGGAGCTGTCGCCAGCTTGGGCATCTTGCCCGCAAGCCGCGACATAGTTTCTAAGTATCTGAGCAATCAATTGGGGTTGCGCAGGGTCGAGATTGGAGTGTAGGGGGCGTATATCGTTGGCCGTTGGAGGGGTGGTATATCGTGGGGTTGTGGTCGTGGGACGGGATGCCAAGGTTGGAGCTTCGAAGGTTGCTTAGAAAAAAGATAGTTCCCCTGCCCGTGAGCTCCGTGTCTCCACTCTGCCGATTGGACTGGCTTGGCCGCGGCTCCGTGCAACGACATAACGGGCGCCAGCTCCGGGCGTCGGGTTGTAGCGTTGACTACGAGTAAGAGGGAACTGCATTGTTTGACACCAGGTCAAATGGATGGATGTGAGGATTCTACAGAGAAAGCTGGGAATATCTATAATAGAGATGAGTTCTTCGGTTGAACCTCACAACCCTAACCCACTGCCCGATTAGGAAGTTTCCAACAACAAGGCAACTGGAAAGAACGACCCGTTGGCGGAGGCAAGCTGGGGTTTTGATGAAAGTTCGGAGGCCGCGGCAAAGCATATCAATTCTTTTCTTCAAATAGAGTTCCTATATAAACTCGCCGAATCATGTTTATGACTTGCCCTGCATGCTTCGCCCCCTCCCCAACCAGCCTCGAGCTCGCCAAAGCAGAGATCTCCTCAGGAGTCTAGCTTCCCAAGAACTGGTAGCACAACGACTGAACTTGGCGAGTGAGTCTCTCGATAGGTACGCCGTTATGATTGGAGCTAGTCGTATCCTGTAGATTTTCTATGCCTATTGCGGCCAGGGCTTTGCGGCTGAGGTTGGGACGGATCATGTTATTGGTGATGAATTGGGTATTGACCTTGGTTCACTTTCAGCACCAGTGATCTCCGTCCCACAGTGTCCCTTTGTGCCATATGGTTGCTGCGCGATGATTTTTGCCAACGTTGGGTATTGGAAGTCGAGCTAACCAGGCACTTTCTGCCTTGCGAGCTTCGAAAAGCGACTACTTGGCTGTCTCCAAGTCGATCCTCCAGGATCCTAAGCGCCAGACTGTTGTCTTTGTTTTGCTACTCAGACAACAACATTCAGCACCAAGCCTCCTGCGATCCAGTAACTGACCATCCATTAGTCACGGGAATCGACAGGGCCGTCGTCTCAGCTGAGTATATATATCACTCCATTCTCACCTCCCATTTCCAACAAAAGCACACTTCACCATCTGCTTATACCGTTGAGCTTGCCTGACCCGGATCTATCCAAATCTCCTGAATTCTATCTAGACCACTGAATACCGTAAGTCTTTCCCACCAACCTCTAGCTGAAGGTCCAATCACTCACCCCTGCTGCCATACATCTCAGTCACCACAGACCAAGATGGACAAGGAAAACGATGCGCCACAGGGCTACCAAAACGGCGATCTCGGGAGCGATAACCCTCAACTTGACGTGGACTTCCCGATCACGGAAACCGTTACCGAAGGGTTGTACCAAGAATGGGTCGCGGGAAGGGACGAGACGGACTCTACCTCTTCTCAGTAGACAATACCTACCCGCTGGGAATTACATCTCGATTCCGTGTGACAGTGGGTGATAAACATGGCAGCTGGCCAAGATAGAAAACTTTCATCAAAACTAGCTATTATAACACAGAATCAACAATCGGTGTATGAGTGAGTGACAGTGTCCATGTACTACTACTACTCCCCCTTCCCCCTCGCCAACCCAACAACATCAACCCACTCCTTTGGCCTTCTCCTCCCCTCCACCTCCAAAAACCCCTCCACATCCCTCGCAAAACCCAGCAACTGCTCCTCCGCCCCCCACTCCCCCATCCCCATCACCCCCACAGGCAAAACCCCCTCCCCTTGCTCAGCCTCGACATAACCCCCCGGACAAGTGACAGCCGGACAACCACTCGTGTTAGCCACCCAAGCAAAGGTCATATTCTTTATACTCAGATTCCCATCCGAGCACCCATACGCCTCGTCCCCGTCACAAATCTTCCACCCTGCTATCGGGGTTGTAGGCGTGAGAACAATCATGTCTGGGTGCTGCTCCCACAGCCAGGCCAGGTGCGCCATGATGACGTGCCTGATTTGGCCATAAGATAAATAGTCCGTTGCTGGGGTGTGCGTCGCCGCGGAAACAAGCATGCGGTTGGCGTGGTTGAGGGGGGCGAGGTAGTTACTGGGATTACGGGCGAAGGCCTCGGTTGCGGCTTCGGTGAGGCAGGTTGCCGCGTGGGCTAGCTGCCCTTCCCTCAGATAGGGGAGGGAGATGTCGACTGCGGTGTACCCCTTGACAGTGGTGAGGTATTCAACGCAGGAGCTGAAGACTTTGAGCACGTCCGGGTCCGCACGGGCGATCCAAGCGCGGCAGATACCCAATGTTTTCTTCGACCCAGGAGAAGGCGGGACGGACAGACACAAAAGGTTCTGGCCTGGGTCGGAGGGGTTAGGTTGGGACATGACACGGTAAGCGATGGTCAGGTCGGCTACCGTTGATGTCATGGGCCCGACAACACACATGGACGTGGCGCGGGAGCAGGTGCGGTTAAAGGTTGGTTTGAGGCCGTAGACGCCGCAAAAGGCAGGGGGGATGCGCATGCTGCCTCCGGCGTCGGTGCCGATTGCCACCGGCACCAGTCCCGCACAGAGACCGCTCCCCGCGCCGGAGGAGGAGCCGCCGGGGAAGTAACGGGTGTTGTACCAGTTCGTTGCTGTCCCTGTCACGGGATTACAGCCGGTGGTGTCCATCCCTATCTCGTGCTGGTTCATCTTGCCCACCATGATCGCGCCCTGCTCTTGCATCTTCAACGCGGGCCAGCACGTCTCCGGTTCGGGCTTGTTGAAGTAGGCGACCGTCTTGTCGACCTTCATCCCCATGGTCGAGACATACCCCTTGACTTCAGTGTCGGCCTTGACGCCAAAGGGAACACCGTCCAAAATGCCGAGCTGCTTTCCCTCTTTCCACCGCTCCGTGCTCTCTCTGGCATGTTGAAGCACCTCATCGACATTGGACTCGATGAACGCAACAGCATATTTGCTCTCCTCGTCACCAACGTCTCTCCTGATAAGAGGAAGGAGCGCCTCGACTACATCAAGGGGAGTAGCCTGACCTGACTTGTAGAGCTCATGGTAATCAGCAATCGAATTAAACCGGCCCTTGCAGTCGGCCGACTTGGGGGTGACGAGGTACCCCTCCTCAAGCGGCAGCATAGGGCCCGTTTCCCCAAGGGGGGCAACATCAGGTTTGACGCGCCAGGGGACAGAGCTGTCGAGTCCGGGGGCGTGTTTGGGCTGGCCAAACTTGGCGTTGTTCCAGAGCCATTTCTGGAGGACGGAGGAGTTGGATAACAGAGTGGAGGCAATAACCAAAGGCCAGCCTCTCAGCGGCGGGTTGTGGTCCTCTTCGTGATGATACTCGAGGGCAGCGGCAGGTGCCTCTTTGGCGCCGGGGTAGTTGGCGAATTTGTCTGCCATTTGGGCAGTGATAGCTTCAGAAACTTGGGCTGACCCCAATCTGCAAATACCCGTCAGTTTTAAGCCTCGAGAAACAGGTTCATGCAAGTAACCTACCTGCTGACACTGCTGACTGTTGTTTTCCGTCTTGATAAGAATGGCAAATCAGACAAAGGCAGCCCGTATCTCTTGGGCTGGGGAATCGGGTGAGGTGAGATGCGGATGACAGGGGCCCTTGAACGGCGTCACTTGCTGTCCAGTCAAACGGGTTTTTGCAACAGGTCCGAGATCCTAACCGAGTTGGATGGCTTTGACGTCGATTTGAGAATCCCAGTCGAAAAATAAACAGACCGACAACAGCTGTGATATCAATTCCTATTCTGACTGTTCGTCTTGCTCTCGTCCAAACTCCCTTACCTTACCACCTCACCAACCATGGCTCGTCTGGAACCAGGGGTTCAAGACGCTGACCAAGACACACTGACGGACAACTACGGTGGTATTCGTTCGCCTCTGTCTCAAAACCTCTCTGGCCCCACTAAAGGCCCGGCAAAGCATGCCCGACTAGCTACATATAGAAAAAGCTTTGCTATATTAATACTATAAAAGGCTTCTAAATATAATAAAAGCTAAAAATTACTAGTAAAAAAATTGGTTTTATTTATTACATTTTTTAGTACTATTTATAATAATCAAAACAATAGTAATAGTAATAGTAGTAGTAATAGTATTAGTATATATGTACTAAATGTAAGGTTAGACCTATAGCAATATACATATATAAAGTTAAAGTTACATTTATATATATACAAGTTATAGTACTATCGATACTGTATATATTACTTTATTCCTTTATTTTATTTTATTTGAAATTATAATATATATAAAAGCCTTAATTTAGCTATATTTTATTTACTATTTTATACTCATACGCTTTTAAAGCTATAGTACGAGGCTTTTAGCCGGATTAATGATACCAAGGCCGCTTTTTGTAGGGCAAAAGAGGTTCTGAGACAGAGGCGAACGAATACCACCGTAGACACCACCTGCCACCGCTCCCGTTAAAAAGAGGGGTACCCACATCGACCATGAACCTCGGCATCTTTTTCCTTGTTCTATCTCAAACAATGCCTCCTGATCAAGACACCAACAAGCACAAGCAAACAAGCACAAGCAAACAAGCACAGCATGCTGTAGTGTCAAGTTAACATTCCGACAGTGATATCCATGGGTAGAATCATCATCGTGTGGCGTCGTGGTGTAGCAACGTTGTAGACCAATCACATTAAATCCATCCCTTTCAACAACCAACAGAGCCCTACCGCAAGCTTAAATCCCATTTTGTGCAACTATAGCATATCCGTTTCGTGTCACCATATCAAAATCACCACATCAAAAATGAACATCCCAAAAATTGTTAAATAACCCCGAGGCTTTCTTCTCGCCCAGCCGTCTCTCTGCTTTAAGTTTCCGCCTATTCTAAAGCTCGAAACCACTGAAAGCTATGTAGGTAAATACCTCTCTTATCTATATCTTATCCCTTCCCTGCCGACCTGCAACTAAGCATCAACAAAATCGATGCCCAGTTCCACAAGTACAGCGCCAGTTGCAAAATCAGAAAAAACGCTGTTAAACCACAGCATATCCTAGACTTGCCGATTCACCCTTTCTATCCATTCCTGTAAAAGTGAAAAAAAAATTCCCCAGTCATCAAAAGCCAGCCAGCCTGTTATCCAGACCCCCTTTCCTTGAATCCTGAAAGAAAGAAGAAACCACCACCATCATAGATAGTGGTGTGATGAAAAAACAAACCCACCCAACCCCGGATGTTGCGTGTCAAGCCAAAAAAACGAATGATGCCTTTCCTTTCCCTTGTTTACCCTTCCCCATTGCCATGCCGAGAATCTTCGCTAATAGCTGCGCAAAAAACAACAACTCGCTGAAGTTTCAGTAAAAAAGAGAGAGAGATATCGCCGCCGCCGCCCAATGTTGTGCCAAACGTGTGTAATAGTGTCGATGTAACGCACGAACTGTTCCTCCCAAAAGCAAATCCATGCTGTCCATATTTCCGGGGTTGTGTGTGTAAACGACGGTAAGAAAGTGAAAAGGGTCAAAATAAAAAATGTGATGTATAAAAAAACCAATAACGCCTTCAGCTTCGAGAGCTGATATTTCCCTGTGCCCCATGCCCCAATTCCTAAACGCCTTGATGGGAAGCCAAATGACGTGATGAAAAAAAAGATGTCCAGGCTGAGAAAGTCGAGAGACAAACTCTGCTGCTGGAATGCTTGTCATTCCTGGCCATGCTGATAGATTCGCCCCCTTGTTGTAGTAGTTGTAGACTGTGCCCGGTCTAATTCGTGATAATGCCGAGTAAGCCCTGCTGTCCTAGAGATGCCCTTACCGGCCACCAAGCCTCAGCAGCTTCGTCCTCAGCCAGAGCACAAACCCGGCCCAGTAGCTCTGCGTCTTCCGCTTGGGGCCGCTCCCTCTTCGCGGCCGAGTCTGCTCAAACCGCACAGCGTCGACATTAGGGCCGAAGGCGGGCGGCGTCTCGAGCGGAACGCTGTCGTACTTGCGGCTCATGAAGCGTATCTGCTCCTCGCCGCTCGGCGAGTTGGTGTGGCGCCTGTTGATGGCGCCGCCGACCTGGGGAGCGGAAGAAGAGGTGTAGGCTCCTTCAAGGTCCTGTCGCGAAGAGTTGCTGACGGTCGTGCCCTCGGTCCAAGAAGCGCCCTTTCTACCAAAGACAGCCTGGATGCCGCTGGAGGTGGATGCGGGGGGAGAAATAACATTGCTAAGGCTGTTCCCAGTGTTCTTGCGGTGGATGGACGGACGGGCTGGGGCTCCCTTCTCGATGCGACTCGCTTCCTTGGTGTCCCTACGCTCCCTCTTCTTGATCATCTCGCGGTCGTACTTTTCCTCCTTGATGTTCTCGCGCTCCTCAAACTTGCGGCGAGCGGCTCGGATCTTTTCGGCGCGGTTAGCCGTGTCCAGCTCGGAGCGGCTGCGAAGTCGGGGAAAGTTCGCCATGTCGAGCGAGCTGCGCAAAGGCGACATTTGAGTGGCGCCAGAAGATGAGTTGTTGATTGTTCCGGCTCCGATACTGCCGGTTGGCGAGTCGAGAGTGGTGCCCAAGGACACGCTGACGCTGTTTGTCAACTGCAGATCGGACTGGCTAGTCGTGGAGATGGTGCCATTCGCAAGTCGAGAAATGACAGTCGCACCTGACGCCGACCTGGAAGTGCCACCTGTCGTATTGATGCGGAGAGAGGGCGCTTTGGAAGGTACCTCGGTGTATGACCCGGTGCGCTGGCTCTGGAGCGATGGTCGGCGGGGATTTGAGAGATTTGACTGCGATGATAACGCTGGTGGCGGGGCAGAGGAGTGGCTATGGCTGTGGTTATGGTATTGCGCAGGAGAGTCAAAATCGTCAAAGTCGTCCTCGTTCTCGGTAATAGTGGGGGAGCAGTTGCGCTCGTTGTGAGTGCTATTGATGGTATTCGCAACGGTATTGTCAAACGAAGCAAGCGAGTTCGCATATGACAAGGGTGGCGTCGACGTCCGCGGGGCCTGCGCAAAAGGATGGATGAAAGCTCCTCCGCGAGGACCGCTGCCAGTAGAAGCTTGCGACGGCGTACGGCCGTGGTGGAATTTGGCTCGAATGCTGCTTCCGCCGCCTGGAACAGACACCACGTTGCTCTCGACACCCAGACCCATTGCTCCTCCTGATAAGCCACCAGGGAACGCCTTCTCATCCCACTCCCCATTCTCCAGCTGCTCAATCGACTGCTCATCCCACCCTCTATCCAGATCCAGCGAGTTCTTTTCCGAATGCGACAGCTTCAGGTTCTTCGCTGTCTTCAATATTGGCTTCACCATCTTTCCCCTCGCCTTCGTCAGCTTTTTATTGAGCACCGCACCACCGCCAACGGTCGTCATTTCTGGCAACATTTTCCTTCTTTCTTTCCTTTTGTACTGCCCAATTTGCGCAATTCTCCTTTTTTCCCAGTATGCGGGGAAAAGTCGATGATCGGAGTTCCCAAGATGACGTTGCTGCCGCGTCTGAATGTCGTCTTCGATTTTTCGGATCCTCCGGAATTCAACAGCGCTGCGCGCGGTTCAATTTTCAAGCACGACAACGACAAAACCAGCAAAAAGGAACAGGGAGAACAAGACGAGACTGCGGGGCTGAATGCATCTGATGGTCGCAGTGCCAAAACTAAGAAAAATAGAAACTTCCCCCTCTTTTTTTCTTTTGCGATCTTTGCCCCGAGCGCTGGGCCTTGCACCTCTCTCTCTCTCTCTCTCTCTCGTCTTCCTCCGAATCCACCGAGCAGCAGCCCCCAGATGACACCAAGTAATAATGACTGGAGAGAGGGAAATAATGCCGTGTCAATCAATCAATCAATCAAGCTACGGAAAAAAGCGTGGACAGGGCAGGCACCAAAACAAACAAAAGGGCGGGGGGGGCAAGAGGGGAAGTGATTGATTGAATGGTTGCAAAATGTCTAATTCGACGTCGAGCGGCGCGGGTGTGGGATAATTAGACGCGGGCGCGGGCCTCGTTGATCGGGTCTCCCGTCTCGGTCGCGCGCGGGGTTGATGGTGGTAATTGTTAATGGGTGGTCGCAGAAGTAAGGGGCGACTGAGATGCTGTGACGGATGTTGTGATGAGTAAAGAGGAGGGGAGGTGGTTGGTGTAGGTTGGGCTGTCGGAGAGGGGTGGTGTGGTGGTGGTGGCCGTGTGTAGGTGGTGTGTGTGGCCGGTAAAATGGACGGATGGATGGATGGCCAAGGAGAGGATAAAGGGGGGGAGGAGGAGGAGGAGGAGGAGAGGAGACGAGGGGAAATCCAGGAATTCAAATGGGTGTGGTGGGATGATCTGATGGGGATGCTTCCCTCGATCTTCGTTCCCGGCGGTGCGCACCACCGTGTTGCTGGGTCCCTGGGTGGAAAGGGAAGAAGCACTAGGCGGGAGGAGGGGCCACTACGGAGTACTACCTGCTGGCGCACGCACC